TAACTGGTTTACATGTTTGTCCTTTCATTGAACTGTATTTTCTGAAATGTCTTAAATAATTGTATATCACTTGTGGTGTCATGTACTAAAATGTTATATACATGTTTTAAAGTCAAGATTTAATGGGATAAAAATATGGCTTGACAACTTGAATAAATTCTATTCCCAAATGGATTGTGTATCTGTGCAATAAACTCAAGCTTGAAAAATAAGAAACACGGGGAGTTATTCACTGTCCATTTCTCTTGGGGTGTCTTGGTTTTCCTCTGATTTCCTGCTCAGTATTACCTTTGCCTGACCTCCACCTGGTTAGGTGAGTTTGGAGAGGGTGGTGGAGTTCCAAGGCCAGGAGGCCAACAGAAAGGTGCCATTGCTGTTCTTTCCCTTGGTCTTTAGCCTTGAGATACCTCATGTTCCCTCTCATAAGAGCTGGGAAGAATCTTGCTGCCTGATTGCAGAAAATGGCCCCTTCCAGGCCCTCCTCCCTGTAGCCCACTCCCTCTCTCCACATGCTATGCCTTCAGCTGTGCTCTCAAGGGGGTAGGTGCACCCTCCGTTCTTCCCTTTCCCCAAGGTGGGGATCAGTTTGGAGACCTCTGAAAAGGGGAGACTTAAAAGGATAATTTACAATCCTAGGAAAAGCCTTCCTTTTGTGTAATCCCCTTGTACAAATGCTCAGTTGTGAGCCCATGTCAAATAAAGAATTGGCCTCAAATGCCTGAAACTTGATGCTCAGGAGAGCCAAGTGGCCCAGCCCTCTCACTGCACTTGTAACACATTCTGAAACTTTCTTCTGTCTGGATCAGTGAAGATCATTGCTTAAGAAAACAGTGTGGGGACCAAAAGAATGTTTTCACTGTACCCAACACACACATGGCCTTTCTATCTGCTCACTGTCCGCAATGTGAGAGGCAAGTTATATGCTCCACCCTGACCCCAGTAATAAAGGGAAGACTAGACGGGGATAGGAAGGACCTGGCTATGATGTGGAGTCCCCTGGTGATCATTCCCTTGGGAAGGAAGCTTTAGTAACTATCATGGCACTTCTCTGGGACAGGCCAGGGTTGGTCTGAATATGAGCTCATTCAGTGTATGGGACCCAGGAAACAAAGCATATTGCATCCTTTCCTACTACCACTGAGAGTTTGCTGTGCTCTCATTCATCTTTTAACTTGCAAAGAGGAGCCGTCAGGTTCAACCATGAGACATTTAGGAGAATGGGCTTCAAACCAGTCTCTCCCTTTCTGAGACATTCAGAGAGACCTGCTTTTAGCAACGTTTTTGGCTCCACAGCTCCAAACTTACCTGGAATTTGAGGTTTCCTTATAGGACCTGAGGTTGTGTTTGCCCCACCATCTTGACTTCCACTTGAGTGTCCTAAGGAGAAAACAATACCTCTTAATCAAAGTTCGGAACACATAAGCACAAGTGCCTTACAGAACAGCACACAGGGCCAACCTCCATGCTCTACATCACTGTGAAGCCACTTATAGATTCAAGCCACAGGTATTACATGAAAGATATCTCCCCAGAAAGGCTCAGTTTGATTAAGACTAAGATTTGGCAGTATTATTTTTCATCAAGAACATGAGAATTCTCTCCAGCAATCCTGTGCAGTGGTTAAGACCTTGGGCACTAGGGCAGGACACCCCTGGATTCAAGTATTCTTGCTAGCAACATCTGCTGGGTCAAGTTACCCTCTCCAAGTGTCAGTTTTCTTATTTGTAAAATGGGAATAATAATAAAATCCATTTCATCATAAGTTTGCCAACGTCTAAACAAGTACCCAGGAATGGTAATTGTAGTCATTGTATTTTATTTTTCATTTAGGACCTTGTTAATCCAAGTGTGGCCCCTGGACCAGCAGCACAGGCATCACATCATGAGAGTTTGCTAGGAATACAGAATCTCAGGCCTCACCCCAAACCTACTGAGTCAGAATCTTCATTTCTAACAAGATCCCTAGGTGACTGATATGCTCCAGAAAAAGCAAATCTAACATATCCAGGGTCTTCATAGACACAAACATAAATATTCAAAAACAAAGGTTTGGTGGGGGTGGGGGCAATGGACGTTTCTATGAAAAATCACCATACTTGAGTCCCTGCTAACATAGTCCTGAAACACCTCTTTAGAAGAATTAACATGTTTTTAGGAGAATGAACATTTTCTCCTGCTATAAAACAAACCAGGGGAAAAAACAAAAAACCTCAAACAGGAAGGAAGCAATGCAAGACAAAGGGTCCGCAGCCAGAATAGGAGCCCATCAGAAGGAGGGAGGCACCTGTATCAAAAGAGACTTCTAACGCGTCTTGTGAAGAGACTTATTCAAATGATAGCTTTGTTTGCTTTTTTTTTGTTTTTTACTCTTCCTTCACTGCTTCAAAACAAAATTTGAAAACAGCCCCCTAAAATGAGCTTCTTTTCTCTACCAACTGGGAACCCACTGCCGAATCCTAAAGGCCTCCAAGAAAAGAAAAAACAAGAAAACAAAACTCAGGACAGTCTGTTTGGCTCACCAATGGATGAAGATGCCTGGGCTTCCAATGAAAAGCTTTCCTCAGAATGCAAGACTTTCGACTGTGCACAGAGGATACTGAAATCTTGATCATGGTGGTTTATTTTGCATAGGATGGCTCCTGTTTATGCACCTTGATGTTTTTATTTAACTCAAAATGGAACAAAACAAATTCTAACCAGACGTCTGGCCATTTCAGGATACTTTGTGCCATTTTGACAGTGGCCTTTTACTTCACAAACTTCAGAAGATGTCCAAGGTGCTTTTTCTAACTGCCTCCCAAGAGTCCTTGGTCACTGGCAGGTTTTCATCGGCACAAGTCATGGGATATTGGCCATCTAACTGGAGCTCTTTGGTCTTGAAAACCATCTAATTAGCGGTACAGCGACTCTTGCTGGTCTTTCTCTGACTCACAGTAGCCTTTGATATTTGAAAGGGAGACCATTAATGGAACATAATCTCTTTATTTTGATTTTCAAAAAAAGCTGCCCCAGTGAGGAAAGATCTGGGTGTGTGTAGGAGATGAAACCTCTTGTTTGAACAATAGACACCTGCACAGGTGTCAAACAAAAGAGACCACTCCCGCCCACTTGATTCTCACTTCAAGCAAAAGCCGAGGATGGACTAGCCACAGCAAGCCTCGCCCTGAGCCCTAGAGGTCTGCAAATGCAGCCAGAGCAGAGCTGGTGGGGAATGCAAGTTCTGCAAAGAGAGACACCTGACGCTGCACCTGGGAAATCAGATCCAATCTGAGATGTGTACTCAGAGGTAATTCAACTGGCTTCAACTGGGAGAAAAACAGTCTAGGACAGTGCTTTTCAGATTTTAATGCACAGCAAACCACCAATGAGGGAAGATGGTGGGGTTGGGGGTGGCATGGGGAAGTTGGTGTGGTTAAAATGCAAATCTTGATTCAGCAGGCCTGGGATGGCTGGATTTCTGCATTTCCGACCAGTTCCTAGGTAATATTTCTGCAGCTGGTGCAAGGAGTAGGGAGGGTCTCTTGATTTTAGAGAGCATGGAAAGATTCTGTGTGTGTGTGTACAATAAGACAGAGAGTTAGTAATATGTTCCTCTCATTTCCAAAATACTTTCATGTTCCTGATACTTCTTCACAAGAACTCTAGGAAGTAACCAAGGCAGGTGTTCCAATCACCTTTCTACTAATAATTGAGGTTGGGAAAGGCTAAATACCACACCCAAGATCCCTGGAGAACTTGGGATCTCTGTCTTTATTTTAGAAGCATTTCTAATGAGCCTCAATATCCCTGTACTCTCATAGAAAAGGCTGTCACTGAAACCATTATGTAAATGTCCATTTTCATGTTTGTTTTAAGTGTGTGAGCCTTTAAGCCTGTAGCTTAAGCCTAGCCCCAACTTCAGCATGGATGGGAGGACCACAGTTCATAGGGACTATCTGGTTTGCATGGGGTCACCTGGACTGACAGGAAATAAGATTCTTTTACTTTGCAAGAAGAGATCTCAAGGGACATTTACAAAGGGTTTAATGTTCCTCTGCATATGCTCAGAGAAAAATAAGGCATCTTTAAAGTGTCTTGAACAGGAAATTTAGACTTAAACTTCTAGCATACCCCTATCAAATTTCATTTCCTGCATTGCTAAGAATTACTATTTTCCTTCACTTCACTTTAGTAGCTGTTTCTAGAGCCTACCTGATTACAGATCAATTAGGTATATGTATTCTTAAATAACTTCTAAAATGATAGCCTTTGGTTGTGGTAGGGAGAGAGAGAAATCTATGAAGATATGGAAACAGCCCACATGCTAGTTCTAGGGAAGTTAACTATCTTTATTGAGACTTTCCTAAGGAAAGTTGTTCATCATTTCATAGACCTCACTGTCAGGGAGCTGAATCCTTAAAACTGCAGTTTCCAGAGTATAGAAAATAGTGTCATTATAAGAAACAAACAACAAACAAAGGCACAAGCACAATGCCTACTTTAGGTAAGGGTTCTAGAAGATTCCATAGGCCTAGGCTAAATGGGATGACCAATCTCTTGAGTCTTTATATAATGTTTATGTGCATTGTGAATGCATTTAATAAATATTTGTTTAATGAATCTATGAATGAGTATATACTTTTATGCTTTCCTGTTGAGATATTTATAACTTTCACCAGATAGAGTCCTCACGGGTTTAACACCAAAAAAAATTAAGAACCACAATAGAGTCAACCACTATTTAAAAGTGATAGTCCAAATAATCAGTGGTTCCTTTCTCTAAGGAATGTGCCTGAACAGGGCTGTTTAAACTATACCATGCACAGGAATCCCTGTTCTTGTCAAAACACAGACTCTGATATAAGGTGGTCTGGGTAGGGCTTGAGACTCTGTGTTTCTAATAAGCTGCCAGGATGCTGAGGCTGCTGGTTCCAGGGACCATCCTCTGAGTAGTAAGGACTTGGAGCGCAAGCTTAAATGATGCCCTTTCAAATTTGAAGGCCCAAGGCACATCTCCTTACCTTCTTCGACTATTGACAGCGATGCAAACTGCAAGAATCAAAGCCAGAGCCAGGAGGGAGGCCAAGATGATCAGCCATTCTGGTGTGAGTAAACCAAAAGACACCCATGAGCTTGGGAAATGCACTTTATAAAGACAAAACACACTTTATAAGTTGACATGGCCGAAAGAACCACAGTCAGCACTACTGGTGAGTCTGACAGAATGGCCCCACCAGTACGCAGGTAAGACTGGAAGATGATTTTGCTCCAGGTGTTTGTCCTACAGGCCTCTTATCATCAGCCAGGATTTTCAAGTCCCTCCAAGAGAAACAAATTTTTAAAAAAGCATAGAATGACATGTTGAAACTTGTAGGTGCCTTTGGTACAATATTATTAAAGAGACTAAAGGAAATGTATATGTCTTTTGAAAAAAACATTCCTTTCCTAAATAAGAGCATCTTCTATTTGGTTAAGAAACAAAACTGGAGACCACAGACTAGTGAGTGGGGAAAAGGACACTATTGTAGAGGGCTATACTTAAGCACATTCACTGGGAGGGTCATTTGGCAAAACCTTCAAAATGTTCATGCTTTTAGTCCAGCAATTATACTTATAAGATGTCAAAAAGCCTTCAAAATGTTCATGCTTTTGGTCCAGCAATTATACTTATAAGAATTTATAGGACCTCAGAATTAGCTATGAAGATGTTCGTTACTGTGCTATTTATAATAGTAAAAGTTAGAAACAACCTAATGTTCAACAGTAAGGGATTGGTTAAATAAATAAAAGTATATCCATTGTATTATATACTATGATACAGAGGAAGAATGTTTAATGACATTGGAAAGCTGTAGCCAACCAGTTGGGCATAGTAGTTTGGTAAACAGCATGTATGCTATAAATTACATTGAAAAATGATGGGAAGGACATATACGAAAATGATAACCATGGCATTCCAAATGGTGAGGGAGATAATAACTGGTTTACATGTTTGTCCTTTCATTGAACTGTATTTTCTGAAATGTCTTAAATAATTGTATATCACTTGTGGTGTCATGTACTAAAATGTTATATACATGTTTTAAAGTCAAGATTTAATGGGATAAAAATATGGCTTGACAACTTGAATAAATTCTATTCCCAAATGGATTGTGTATCTGTGCAATAAACTCAAGCTTGAAAAATAAGAAACACGGGGAGTCATTCACTGTCCATTTCTCTTGGGGTGTCTTGGTTTTCCTCTGATTTCCTGCTCAGTATTACCTTTGCCTGACCTCCACCTGGTTAGGTGAGTTTGGAGAGGGTGGTGGAGTTCCAAGGCCAGGAGGCCAACAGAAAGGTGCCATTGCTGTTCTTTCCCTTGGTCTTTAGCCTTGAGATACCTCATGTTCCCTCTCATAAGAGCTGGGAAGAATCTTGCTGCCTGATTACAGAAAATGGCCCCTTCCAGGCCCTCCTCCCTGTAGCCCACTCCCTCTCTCCACATGCTATGCCTTCAGCTGTGCTCTCAAGGGGGTAGGTGCACCCTCCGTTCTTCCCTTTCCCCAAGGTGGGGATCAGTTTGGAGACCTCTGAAAAGAGGAGACTTAAAAGGATAATTTACAATCCTAGGAAAAGCCTTCCTTTTGTGTAATCCCCTTGTACAAATGCTCAGTTGTGAGCCCATGTCAAATAAAGAATTGGCCTCAAATGCCTGAAACTTGATGCTCAGGAGAGCCAAGTGGCCCAGCCCTCTCACTGCACTTGTAACACATTCTGAAACTTTCTTCTGTCTGGATCAGTGAAGATCATTGCTTAAGAAAACAGTGTGGGGACCAAAAGAATGTTTTCACTGTACCCAACACACACATGGCCTTTCTATCTGCTCACTGTCCGCAATGTGAGAGGCAAGTTATATGCTCCACCCTGACCCCAGTAATAAAGGGAAGACTAGACGGGGATAGGAAGGACCTGGCTATGATGTGGAGTCCCCTGGTGATCATTCCCTTGGGAAGGAAGCTTTAGTAACTATCATGGCACTTCTCTGGGACAGGCCAGGGTTGGTCTGAATATGAGCTCATTCAGTGTATGGGACCCAGGAAACAAAGCATATTGCATCCTTTCCTACTACCACTGAGAGTTTGCTGTGCTCTCATTCATCTTTTAACTTGCAAAGAGGAGCCGTCAGGTTCAACCATGAGACATTTAGGAGAATGGGCTTCAAACCAGTCTCTCCCTTTCTGAGACATTCAGAGAGACCTGCTTTTAGCAACGTTTTTGGCTCCACAGCTCCAAACTTACCTGGAATTTGAGGTTTCCTTATAGGACCTGAGGTTGTGTTTGCCCCACCATCTTGACTTCCACTTGAGTGTCCTAAGGAGAAAACAATACCTCTTAATCAAAGTTCGGAACACATAAGCACAAGTGCCTTACAGAACAGCACACAGGGCCAACCTCCATGCTCTACATCACTGTGAAGCCACTTATAGATTCAAGCCACAGGTATTACATGAAAGATATCTCCCCAGAAAGGCTCAGTTTGATTAAGACTAAGATTTGGCAGTATTATTTTTCATCAAGAACATGAGAATTCTCTCCAGCAATCCTGTGCAGTGGTTAAGACCTTGGGCACTAGGGCAGGACACCCCTGGATTCAAGTATTCTTGCTAGCAACATCTGCTGGGTCAAGTTACCCTCTCCAAGTGTCAGTTTTCTTATTTGTAAAATGGGAATAATAATAAAATCCATTTCATCATAAGTTTGCCAACGTCTAAACAAGTACCCAGGAATGGTAATTGTAGTCATTGTATTTTATTTTTCATTTAGGACCTTGTTAATCCAAGTGTGGCCCCTGGACCAGCAGCACAGGCATCACATCATGAGAGTTTGCTAGGAATACAGAATCTCAGGCCTCACCCCAAACCTACTGAGTCAGAATCTTCATTTCTAACAAGATCCCTAGGTGACTGATATGCTCCAGAAAAAGCAAATCTAACATATCCAGGGTCTTCATAGACACAAACATAAATATTCAAAAACAAAGGTTTGGTGGGGGTGGGGGCAATGGACGTTTCTATGAAAAATCACCATACTTGAGTCCCTGCTAACATAGTCCTGAAACACCTCTTTAGAAGAATTAACATGTTTTTAGGAGAATGAACATTTTCTCCTGCTATAAAACAAACCAGGGGAAAAAACAAAAAACCTCAAACAGGAAGGAAGCAATGCAAGACAAAGGGTCCGCAGCCAGAATAGGAGCCCATCAGAAGGAGGGAGGCACCTGTATCAAAAGAGACTTCTAACGCGTCTTGTGAAGAGACTTATTCAAATGATAGCTTTGTTTGCTTTTTTTTTGTTTTTTACTCTTCCTTCACTGCTTCAAAACAAAATTTGAAAACAGCCCCCTAAAATGAGCTTCTTTTCTCTACCAACTGGGAACCCACTGCCGAATCCTAAAGGCCTCCAAGAAAAGAAAAAACAAGAAAACAAAACTCAGGACAGTCTGTTTGGCTCACCAATGGATGAAGATGCCTGGGCTTCCAATGAAAAGCTTTCCTCAGAATGCAAGACTTTCGACTGTGCACAGAGGATACTGAAATCTTGATCATGGTGGTTTATTTTGCATAGGATGGCTCCTGTTTATGCACCTTGATGTTTTTATTTAACTCAAAATGGAACAAAACAAATTCTAACCAGACGTCTGGCCATTTCAGGATACTTTGTGCCATTTTGACAGTGGCCTTTTACTTCACAAACTTCAGAAGATGTCCAAGGTGCTTTTTCTAACTGCCTCCCAAGAGTCCTTGGTCACTGGCAGGTTTTCATCGGCACAAGTCATGGGATATTGGCCATCTAACTGGAGCTCTTTGGTCTTGAAAACCATCTAATTAGCGGTACAGCGACTCTTGCTGGTCTTTCTCTGACTCACAGTAGCCTTTGATATTTGAAAGGGAGACCATTAATGGAACATAATCTCTTATTTTGATTTTCAAAAAAAGCTGCCCCAGTGAGGAAAGATCTGGGTGTGTGTAGGAGATGAAACCTCTTGTTTGAACAATAGACACCTGCACAGGTGTCAAACAAAAGAGACCACTCCCGCCCACTTGATTCTCACTTCAAGCAAAAGCCGAGGATGGACTAGCCACAGCAAGCCTCGCCCTGAGCCCTAGAGGTCTGCAAATGCAGCCAGGGCAGAGCTGGTGGGGAATGCAAGTTCTGCAAAGGGAGACACCTGACGCTGCACCTGGGAAATCAGATCCAATCTGAGATGTGTACTCAGAGGTAATTCAACTGGCTTCAACTGGGAGAAAAACAGTCTAGGACAGTGCTTTTCAGATTTTAATGCACAGCAAACCACCAATGAGGGAAGATGGTGGGGTTGGGGGTGGCATGGGGAAGTTGGTGTGGTTAAAATGCAAATCTTGATTCAGCAGGCCTGGGATGGCTGGATTTCTGCATTTCCGACCAGTTCCTAGGTAATATTTCTGCAGCTGGTGCAAGGAGTAGGGAGGGTCTCTTGATTTTAGAGAGCATGGAAAGATTCTGTGTGTGTGTGTACAATAAGACAGAGAGTTAGTAATATGTTCCTCTCATTTCCAAAATACTTTCATGTTCCTGATACTTCTTCACAAGAACTCTAGGAAGTAACCAAGGCAGGTGTTCCAATCACCTTTCTACTAATAATTGAGGTTGGGAAAGGCTAAATACCACACCCAAGATCCCTGGAGAACTTGGGATCTCTGTCTTTATTTTAGAAGCATTTCTAATGAGCCTCAATATCCCTGTACTCTCATAGAAAAGGCTGTCACTGAAACCATTATGTAAATGTCCATTTTCATGTTTGTTTTAAGTGTGTGAGCCTTTAAGCCTGTAGCTTAAGCCTAGCCCCAACTTCAGCATGGATGGGAGGACCACAGTTCATAGGGACTATCTGGTTTGCATGGGGTCACCTGGACTGACGATGCTCAGGAGACCATGGGAAGACAGCACTGGCAGAACCTTTCAGCAGCCCCAGTGTTAGAGGTCACAGGTAAACCTGACCCATGTCAAACTTTTGCTGCCTGGAGTAATACTTCCAGGAGTGTGATCTGAGTCACGACAAACAGGAATCCATTTAGTAATGCATGCTCAGCAGTAACTGTGGTCGTTACGGAATGCCTCCTCCAGACTGTGCTTATGAGAGGCAATATGAGGCCCCTGGACTTGCAACCTGGTTCTACCACTCAACTCACTAGTCATGTCAACTCAGCCAAGTGACTTACTCTCTCTGAGCCTTCATTTCCTCATCTGCAATATGGGGACAATAATAGTAATTATATAGGTCTCTGGGCTTATAAGACAATTAAGTAAACATTATATGAACCATCTGAAATCACTGATATTTGACTGTTGACCTACAGAAATGGCAGTTTCATACAGTTCAACCTAATGTAAGGTGCTTAGAACAATGCCACTAGCACACAGTAGGTAAGCAGTAGCTGTTAAACCATGTACTGAGGTTTATGCTAAATGCTTTTCATTTATTCTCTTATTTAGTCTTTAAAACAATGCCCTGCCACAATTATTATTATCCTAATTTTACTGGTTAAGAAACTGAGTCTCAGATTCTTTAAGCAACATCCCCAGTTAGTATGTGGAGGAGCTGAGATCAAACCCAAGCCATTCTTATTCCAAAACCCATGTTCTTAAGCACTCAGGTGTAGTGCAATGTTAAATGGAAACCCTGCTTTAGTTCTTCCTGCTCCTTTCAGATGGAAGACATTTCTCCAAAGCAGTGGTTCCCAAAGGGTAGCCTCTGTCCCTTAACCATCAAATTGAACAGTCAAATATCAATGATTTCAGATGGTTCAGCTGTCCCTGAGCAGTATCAGCATCACCAGGGAACTGAGTAGAGAGACACATGCTCGGGCTCCACCCCAGACCTACTAAGTCAGAAACTAAGGACGGCATCCAGCAACGCGATTTAATAAGCCATCGCTGTGATGATGATGTACGCTAATAACATTTGAGAACCACTTTTCTAGAGGCACTGACACATACTGCATCAATAAACAGCAGGTTCAACGATGATAACAGTAAATGACAAAGCAGCTCAAACTCACCAGCTGATTCCGATCCATGAGTGGTGTGGGACCTCCCACTGTGGTCTGGGGATGAGTCTTGGTCTTCTGTAAGAAGCAACCAGGAAAGGTTCAGTACTGTGTGTTCCAGTTACAGCGCCATCTGCATTTCCTCATGTTTGTACTTTCATTCAACCTATCACAAAGTTTAGTCTTTTAAAGGTAACCTTGAGTGGGTCCATGGTATTAATTACTGTCCATTGCTAATCCACTGGGTAAGTGGCCTAGAGCTTTAATCAAAATTAAGGAAACTGGGACAGTACAGACCCTCAAAGATTACCATGTGAAGTGTGGTTTTGGTAGAAATCCAATAACCATAACACTCTACAAAAATACTGTGAGGTCCCTGAAGGTCTGAGGTTGGGACTTGATACTGTATTTTGGAATAAAAAGTGTCTACTTTGGATTATGACAGATGTGGGAATTTTGACACATTGGGAATTATGACAAATTAGGAATGGGTCTATTCTGTGGCTTAGGGCAGGCCATTTAAAGAGATTCCTCTGAGGCAGGAAATAGGAAAAGGTTTTGGTGTGCAATAAAAGATCTTGTGGGTTAAATTATATAAATATTCAAAGAGAAAAGTCAACTGCCTACTTAGAGAGAAAGTCTGTAAAGTTGTGAAAAAGAAATGGGGAGATGATAACTAACATGAATAATGTGTTTCTGATTATTAGGATACATTTCAAAAAATATTTTTCAGACATTAAATCTGTATTTTCAACCAAGAGTTAATACAATCCCATCTTCTCAAACATCCATCATCAGAAGGCTTTAGATAGAGATAAATTCATGAATTGCTAAATTCTGGATCCACAAGTCAGATCTTGGATTAGAATGTAGAAACTCCTCTTCTCCCTCCTCCCCACACATTTTCCAGCACTATGCTAGAATCTTAAAAGACAAACAACAGCAACAAAAAAAACAGGACAACAGTTTCATAAAATGGTTAGAGTCACCCATTAGGCAGGTACCTGTAAGGAATATACAGTAGTCTGAGCATCACCATTTCTTTGATTAGAGAAGGTGGAGGTGTGTGACCTGTAATCCCTTATGTAATTGTACAGAGATGACAGACGGCTTTGTTCCTTGGCTGACGGTTAGAGTAACTGAAAACAGCATCTGCTGAAATGCTAGAACCAATATCCCCAGTACCACCACCATCACCACCACCACTGGCATCACCACCACCACCACCACCACCACCATTCCAAAGGTTTCAATTCTTAACATTAAGCATAAAGACAGAGAAAAATACAAGGAAGAAGGGAGGCTTATCTCAGTGTTTTGGAAGAAAACCAAGGATGACAGTCGGATCACTAACAAATCATTTAATCCACGGAGAACCATGGAAAATCTCTCTATCACTGAGGAATGTAGAAGAAAGCAAGCATATGTGAATATCAGTTTTGTAGAAGGCATTTTATTTACTAATGAATGGTCTTTAGTAAGATATTGTAACTTAAAATTGCCATTTAAAATGTAAATTCATTAGACTGCATCGCAGGTCCTATTTTGCCAAGAGAAACTAGGCAGTGCTCCAAGATTAATTTCTCCAGGAGAACATTGACAATGCTACTTAGAGCACAGACCACGCTGAATGAAGAGCCAAAGGGTGTAAGTAGCTTTGTCTTGAAAACACTGTTTTCCGCCATGAGGTGGGCAACCCAGAGGAAAGAGGCCAAGCATGAGGCATTCCGTGTTCTGTAGCCCACCGTCAGTCAAAGCATCATAGCTGTCATTGGTTTTATATATATGTACAATCACTAATCTTTAATCTGCCTTAGTGACTGAGTGGTAAAAAGCATTTGAATAACTGGCACCAGGAGAAGAGAATTCGATTTAGTTTCTTAGCCAGAGTGGGTATTTACCAGTTCCCTTTTCTTTAATGCTAGTTTCTTAATGCAAATTGAGAAGCAAAGAAAAACAGAAGTAGGGAGGACTGTTTGAGAAAATAAGTTTCATTCTCATCCGAGGTCCATGTCCAGTGTAACTGAATATCTCCAGTCATCCTTTGCCATTACAAGGGAAATTCATTACAAGTGGATTATTCATTAACAATAGATTAAATCATAAAGTTTTAAGTGTGCCTAAGTAGAAGAGGTATATCCAGGAGCCCTTCACCAGAAGTAAAATTCACCAGTCCACCACCAATAAAAGATAATGATTTCAGATCATCAGAACAAAGATATTAAGATATGGAAATTAGTCACATGTTAGGGAAAACCTTACTAAACAGATAATATAAATTAGTGGAATGAAATGAAATTGTTATTATTTATTTGACCTGTAATAATATCAATTTCATATGGTTCAACTGAATATATCACAAAATCAGGAAGAAGACAAAGAAATTCTACCGTAACAACCAAGTCACAAAAATAAATGGAAACCGCACTGGCAAATGAAAGCATAATTTGTCTAGCCCAAATCTAAGTTGACTTGCACTAGAATGATGACTCTGATGAAAGCCATTCCCATATCACAAGTCAGTCTAATCACAGGAAATGTTCCCTGTAATATGAAAATATGTATTGTTTCCACAGAGAAAGCAAACCAGATAACAAGTGGCTAGGTTACCTGAGAAGGAACGGTCAAGATTAACATTGGAATCCCCAACAACAGTAACTTCAGTAACTCGGGGGGACCCAGTCAAAGATGGGTTCACTAGGATGAGGGTGCTGAGCTCCTTTGTGTCTGGGGATTGAGAAGTATAACCTTCCACTGAAGCAGTTGAATCTTCAGGAAGATTTCCACCTCTTCTTCCACCTCTGCCATGATTCCTATCTGTGTGGAGGTGGGATCAAGGGTAAACCCACATTTATAAGACCACTACCCATCATGTGCTTACCTTCAGAGCATGCAATTGCTGCAAAAGCTTCCCACTTGTTATTCATGAACATGGAGCAAAAGAATGCAGTTACACTATTGAACAGAATCAATATTTTGAAATTGACACCCCTGGACATCACTCAACAGAATGGATTTTCGTGATACTAATACCCAAAAGACACATTTGGGCTATTAAAGTTAGGTGTATGCTATGACAACTGTGACCTTGAAGTGAACTCAGGTACTAGATAATCTTGAGTTTTCACTCAATTGGACCCATCTTTAATGAAGTGGAGGAAACACAGCATTGAATTGAAAGGCAAAATTATGCTGCCTGCAATTGCAAGAGCAAATGCAAGTTTTCAGAGACCTGGGGTTTGGATTATTCTTTCCTTTGCCAGAAGGAAAGTCATAGCACCATGGATTTATGGTCCAGAGGATCAATGGAAAAATATTATTAATATAAGGAAAAGAGAGTGATATAATTTAAACCTGTGTGCCAATTATAAGTCATGTGTAAGTGATCTGTTATCTTTAAACCAAGCACTAACACTAGAGTTTAAGAAACCCAGCCTTTAAGATTAAGAAATTGAGTTTGCACTTAATGTACAACAGCTTCTAAGAGGACTACAAAGCAGAAAAATCAGAGAACCATCACCAACTGCACCTTCAGATCAGAAGTAATTGGATAATGACAGCCGACTGATGTACTTCCACCAAAGACACTTCAAAAACACCCAAAATTGATTGATTTTTTTAATCAATAGCTGAAGCCAACTAGGCTTTACCATCCTCACGGCTAGATGCTGAAGTGGAAGTCACTGCATAGTCTTTATCTTCTGCCAAGCCGCCATGTGATGTAGAGAAGATCTGAGTATCACTCTGCTCTGTTTCAATGAGGGATGAATCCAGCATTAATTTGGAGCTTCCTTTGAAACAAATGAAAGAATCCTCTTTTCTGCAGATAGGGAAGATCTAGCGATAGCAGCACCAGATGGGTAGACTGAGGAATACTGAGGTTGATTCATGTCATTCTCCTCTGGTGGAAATGTACAACAGAATTCTGTTTCATCACCAATCAGCCTCTACGACAACCCATCTTCAGTACAATTAACAAAAGTAAAGCCCCAAGGTGAAGCCTGAGCCAAACTTTGTTCAGCTAGGAGCACCCTGGCCCTATATACACCCCAATTGTAACAGTGCTACCAGTCACTCAGGAACACCAGAGAACATAGAGACAGCAAACAAGGAATCCCAGTGTTCCTAGCAATAATCAAGAACATTTAGCTGTGGGGCAAAAAGTATAACTGTAGGGAAGTAGATACCATGATAGCAGGCAGCATACTTGTAACCATAAAAGAAAGAGAAGCTCATACAGAATAAGCTGCTCAAGTAACTCAGATCAAATTTATACAAGGATAACTAAGTCCCTTCTAAAGCATATTCAATTAAAGTTACTGACTTAATCTTTTAGTAGGTTTTTGATCCCATCTGTGGATGAGGATTCTCATCACTGCACTGAAATGTCAGGAAATGCTTGCCTGGGCAAACACAGGGCCCTCACTGACGTGTATCAATTTGAGGCTGAACCATTGCCTATATTTGAAATCACTTTGACTGTTTTGAGTTGATTTCTCTGGTGTTCTTCTAAGAGAGGTACTGACCTCTGAGTTACAGGTGCAAGCACTTCATAAGCACATCCATAAGCCATGTCCACCACCAAGTAAACATTAGAACCGGGAGAGAGATATGCACTATATCCCAACCCAACATCGAACAAAAGTCAACAGGGACATGAAGTGGAAATACAAGACCCTCCATTTGCCAGAGACACATTCTTAGGCTTATCTGCATCTCCTTTGATGTTTAACACTATGCTATTTACATTCTTGATGGTCAACCCATGTTTGCGGATACTTACCTTTGCCTAAAAGTGATCACCCTAAAAGGACTCTGCCCATTATGTGTAGTGAGCAATGAAATGAGGCCCTCTCAGCTCTGGATTTCTTTCATATTCTGTCAAGAAATTATGAATGACTTTAAGCTGATCTCTAAGACAGCCCTATACATAGAGTGGAAATCAAGGCTGCTAGAAAGTTAGCATTACTTCTACCAAATGTTCAGTGACAGGAAGAGATATTAGCAAATGTTCCTCTTTTGTTCCTGGGCCTTTCCACCTCTGTCAGCTGTCAGCAACATGCCTTGTCCCTCTTCTGTGGGCTGATGTGGGGTGTTCTCTATGATACTTTTGTCCCAAAATATCTTTTCACAACCATTAAAGCAGCCCTATCTTTCCTTTATCTTGGCTGGAGGAAAGATGGGAATCAAAGGAGACAGTTAGTTAAAACAGAAAAACCACTGTTGTAGTGTGGCCTTGGGTTTCACTAACATGACCACTTAGGGAAGGAAAATCAAGTTGAGTGGAGTTCCATATCCCTTTTTTTTACTTACTTAACATAAAGTCATTGAATCTGGAAAACACCAAGAATGAACACAAAATCAGACGTAAAGAGCCCCACCAAGAAAATATTAGACAATAAAGACAGCTCCTGCACCCTGGGCTGAGCTGAGCCACACCGACTGTGCCATTCCACCACCAAGCTGTGCCTTGGGGCCAGCGTGAGCAAGAGCTGAAGCAGGAATACAGGCCAACAAAGGGACCGAGAGTCGTATCCTTACGAGTTGTCATCGAAAGAGGTCCTGTCCTGTCCAAGTCTTCTACCAAATCTGTGTTTGGATCTGCAGAAGACTGAGGTGTTGTACTATGACTGGGGTCTGTATCTGAAGAAATTAAACCAGTGTTATTGCTCAATTTCTTAAACCACGACCAAGGGTGGTTTAAGGTCTATACCCAAACTATTTTTTATATTCAAACCCGGATAAGAGGAAAGAAAACACATATTGATACATGTCTCCAGAACTGGTATAGATTATTGTTTCTTCAAAAGAGTATCACGAGAAATAACTGGCTTTCATTCAAGGGCTCAGTTGTATGAAAGGCACTTTTTTTTTTTTGCTTAGAATGGAGGGATTCAAAATGAGCACATATATGATAGGCCTCCTAAGCATTGCAGAGAGACAGAAACACAATCCAAGTGTCACTTGTCCCATCCATGCACATTTCCTTTTTTACAGACACATAAGATCTGGTGCATAGAGAATAGACAAGGTGCACTGGTTTGGGCACCATTTGGCCACAGCCTCTTACTTGGCAAAAGAACTTATTTTATAGATCTCTTCCCTCATTTGGCTCTCTTTGGCTTTACTAAGTCAACATGCAAATAAAACATAAAATCATCGTTTAAAACTACCTAAACAGAAGGTATGGGGAATATTTAGGGGCAAGATACAAGAAGCAGTGGTGTCAGGGAATCATTATTCCTGTAAACTTAGCTAAGTATGTGGTGTCTTTGGGATTTAACATGTACCGTGTTGAGTGGTACAGACATTTCACTGAAATGTTCATAAATGTAATTTCTAATAATTACCACAAATCAATGCTGTGGAAATAAGTTCTGAGTGAAAAAAAGTCAAACAATCTATAACCACCATCACTATTGCTGGTTTTCCCATTCAAAGTCCACCCACACTGCTGCCTCTGGAGAGATTTAAGCAGTTCCAGATAACTCCAGCAGGAAACGCTGGAATACTGGGCACAGCTACACTGCAGACCTTACATACAAAAAGAAAAGAGAATCAAGATCTTTGTAAGGTAACAAATGGCCGACCCTATTGTCCCAGGTTTCAAAAAAGAGGAAAGGCAGGCTAACCCAAATCAAAACCCCAACTGGGTATTCCCCTAGAAAAAGTCCTGTTTATGGTCTCTAGGAATTCTTGCTCATTTTCCATTTTAGAAGTAGCATCGTTCAAGAGCCACCATGCCATACTACACTTGAAACCAACAGTTTTGTCTTTGATGTGTTTATCAATTTAATGGAATCTCTTTCTGTTCATTATTAAGGAGACTTAATATTGATTCTGAAGTTTTTTTACTGGCTTGGTTTTTCACCATGTATATCATCAGAGCTGCCAGCAGCCATGTTTGTAAACATGTGTGCTGGGTCTACATGCTACACATTAGCCACTCAACATAATGGCAACCACCTAGCCATTCAGACTCATCTTCCTGTGTGGCAGATGGATTCACACTGTATGGCAAATCCATTCCTTGGCTCTCCTCCCTTTATGCCTCTCCTTACATGAGTCTCCTTCCTAAGAAAAACTTTCCCTGACTTCCCTTTTCTGACTACCCAGGTTTTTTAACCCAATTTTCAAAAACTAAATCCAATCCACCTTTCTCTGCTGCTCTCTGGAAGGTCCTGTGAATTTCTTCTGTGTTTCTTATTGGCAGCATTCATTTGGCATCTATTACTTACTGTTTTGTATTGTTAGGTATATTTTGACGCCAGATGTTTTATTCTCATAGCTAACTTTTAAGTTATTTAACATCACAGATCATGAATTGTACATTGTGACTCCATAATGCATTGCACATTAGCAGGTATTTCATACGATTGTAGTTTAAGGGATTTCTGATCATTAACATTTGGGGGTGATAATCGTTCAGGTGTTCTAAGGAAATGAAATTCATTTTGGAGATAACATTGTTCAATTTGATACCAAGAGACATCGTCATTGTGCTCTTGGAACTCATTTCAGTGAGTTTTGTGTTGCGCATACCCTTGGCAATTTAGATCTAACTAATACATTCAATGCTATGACTGAAAATTCACATCTGTCTGTTGGCTCATTTGGCTTGTCTTTCTTTTTGGAATGTTACATTTCTGTGATCAGCACATCTTGTCAACAAACAAACAAACTTGAGTAACTCTATTCATGGGCATAGTAAGGAACATAGATTCTTCAACTTAGTAAAGAGTGAGAAAACGGGGCACCACCTGCTGCCAACTCATGCAGACTCTCTCAGGAAAGCTGTCATCTGTTCTGATAAAGAAACAATTTCTTTTAAATATAAAAATTGGTCAGATAAAATCACAATCTTCCATTCTTATAGAACTAGTATCTTCTTCACTCTCTCATTTAATTGTGTTTTTTTAAAATTGCTTATAGGTGAATAAGAATGGTATTTAAGAAAACAGGGATTCCATCCTATGTAAAAGTTGTCTTTCCCTAAATTTTTAATATTTATTAAGGGCTAAGAGTGGTCTAAACCTTAAGCACAGGGTTTTATCTCTAAATGTAGTAAGAGTAAATAATAAAGTTTTCTGAGCTTCTTAGTTACTTCTTTGGAATGAGAACTCATGTTTTTGGCCTCTAAGATTTGGCTACCATAGACAAGTTATATCCTCTGGAATGTTACATTTCTGTGATCTACAATGGTCTACAATGGAAATGGAGTCAATCAGTTCATTCTTTTAAAAACCCTGAACTTAGAAATAAAAAGAAAATAAATCACTGTTCCTTCTTCAGAGAAAACAACTTCCATTCCCACCATTTTAGAACTAATTCTTTAACACTCCTGCCAAATTCTTCCCTCTCATCCCACAGGGTTTCATATTCAGATGAATGTGCTTATCATTCCTACCAGGAAAATTAATTTTTGCAAAAATTTCAAATTCTTTAGGAAAGTAGACTGATCTAAAACTAAGGGCATATTTCTAAGAAAATAGTTATTTGATGGCTTTCAAAATCATAATATATAAAAGAGTTCAGGGGTTATTACCCATCCATCTTTCTGTTTGATGACCGTGTCCCATTGGATGTGAGATTGGGTCGAAGAAGTAAGTCCAGGAACTGTCGTCTTGATGCTGTGTTGTCATTCTTTGATTTGGATGGCTGTCATGGGCTGAGGCTGTTGTGAGCATGCAGTTCAAGCAATTGTCAAAGTGTTAGTTGACACTTGGCAAGGGATACAGTGATATTTTTAAAAAGAGTTGACTCTCTAGACAAGACAATGAAACCGTCTTAAACCGTCTTCCTTGTATAGAGGGCCAGGAAGTCGCATAGATACAGAATGTTTTAGCAGGTATGGGTTCATTAATGCTCATTGTCTCAGCAATCAGGACACAAAAGCATTAATGCCTCCTTCAGTAGATAGAGGATGAGTTATAGACATCAAGGGAAGATGAAGAAGTAGTTCTTGACCCGTGCCATGTTGCCACCAACCCCTGAAGGAGGAACTGTCCACACACACATCATTCTGAGACAACCACAACCCAGTGAAATGCACATTAGGTTGGTAGTGATTTAAAGAAGGAACCAGATAACAACTTCCCATGAGATAAATGTGAAAGTAAATGCCATTCATGTCAAAAGCATGAATGGAATCCATTAGAAGCATTACCTTCTAACAATGGGATTTATGGCATAACTGACATATAAGAATGTAGCACATGCTTTTGCTTCATTCTGAGCCAATGGAAAAGTATAGATAGAAAAGGTTAATAGTAGACCCTTAGCAATAACCGCACCACATAGCCAGTCACTGAATTCATCGCTTTGCCAGGTATGCATTCAGAAGTTGCCACACACTGGAAGGACATTATGCATTATAGTCTATATTGCAAAGGGAGACATGGAATATTCCTCACTGATACCCAAGTGAGAATATGGAATTCACATTCTCTTATAAGGCAGGATGCCTTATATATATATCTGTCACACAGACATAAGAATCATGCATAGGAGCTTGCAGAGCCAAGTTATCAGGCATCACAGAGATGATGTCGAGTCTAATTTCCACAACTGCACAATTTAAGAATAGAGAAGGTGTGTTTTTTGTATTCCTAAGAAAACATTGTACATTCAAGGACAAATCTGCAAACAGACCTGACAAAAAGGGCTAAATGACATTAGACAGGTATTTTTCTCAAAATGGCAGGATCCATTTCTTCAAACATTGGGGTTCTGACCAAATGCTTTCTAACGAGCCCACTGTTTCATAGAACCATGTTGTAAAGCTTGGATTCACATCACAGAGTGCTGCATTCCCATGTCATTCTGAACATGTGAAGTATTTTAAGATCAGAGTCTAGGCTACAGTCTCACTAGGGGCTGCCCAAAACTAGTTCTGAAGGTGACCAACGCAAGGGCATATTCTCTGTGTGTCCTTCATGTGCTCATATGCATTCCTGTTTGGGTGATTTGTTATAAGCATTTAAGGGTTGGGTCTGTGTTGAACACATCATCATTTATTAAGGAACTTTGACATCTCGGGACAATTCCTTCAAGGTCTTTTTGTTCAGTGTCCTCAGTGCTCAATATTTAACCCAAAAGAAGTTTCCACCCACTTTTGCCTGTTAAACCATCCATTACCAGCTGTCCCTGCTGTTGAATGAGAGTCGTCTTCTGGCATTTGGGGATATTCCCCAGGCCATCCATTCTCAAACCACTGCTCTTTCTCGGTGGCTGTTTCTTCTGTTGCACTACTAGGGGTTGCCTGAGCTGTGAGAAGAATGTCAGTTGTGAGCCATTATTGTTTGATTTCTTTACCAACACACATCTTCTACTTTAAGGGCTATACACTTGAAAGGGAATATAAGAAAGAAAGGCACCAAGGAGAGAGGTCATTGATATTCGGAAAGGGATGTAAGAAAACAAAGAGCCCAATCTTTTTTGGATGGGAAAACTGGGACCGAAAGAGGTTTTGATGTGTTCAAAATCCCATAGCCAGATTAATACAGTTAGGACTAGACCACAGTCTAAGAATTCCCAGTATTATTCTTATACTGAGACTATGGATTCATATATCCTGTCTGAGAGATCTGTTTGTTCAAAGAATGGACTTGCTCCAGTGATTTTAGGGAGAGAAATATGTGACAATTGAAGCCAATTAGGAGGTCTTCTCTGATTGCAGTCATGTAGCCCGTAATCACACACACTGGAAATGAAGCACCCATGGATTTGCCTACTATGAAAGATGTTGGGAATGACTTTGATGCTGTTCCACTGACACATTATGAGTTTATGTCAATGTGGCACCTAAAGTTGCCAAAATAACTTTTTCACAAAACTAACTCAGTAGAAGAAAACTATTCCTGCCAGTGTTTGGCATTATATAAATAATAGGAATGTGTGACAGGCTTAGCAGTTCAACCACTCAGTGTTGTAATTGTCCAGTTGTAAAAGAAACAAATGAGTGGGATAAAATTGTATCAGGTGCCTTTGGGAAAAATCAGAAAGCCACTGAAATTTTCATCTCTAGCAACTAAGAGTAAATTCTTAACTCATCAAGCAAATGAGAGCTTGCAAACTTGCCAAGCCAAAGGGTATTTTGCAACTTGTAAAACTGATTGTATGTCATTATTTTAGAAAATGATACCTGTAGTTTAGTAATAGCAAAGACATTTAAAAACTAAAACTTATTGTCCTTGCTTTACCCTGGCAGTGGCCAAAATGTTCCTGGGGTTAACTGGTTATCCAGAGGGAGGAAACCCTCAAATCTCAAGTTTTACCTCCCACTGACTAAAACACTACCACCTGACACATAATGAAGCTAGAAAAACCACCTAGTGTAATTACAAAATAAGAAAAATTAATGCAGACAGAGGCTGCCTATTCAGAAATTTTTAAAAAGATAAATAAAAATAGAAATGCATGTATACCATACACTACTCTGTACTCTTTCTATATCTGTTTATAAGCACAATAATCCTTTAAACACCCAGAAACTCCCTGTTATTTTCAACAGATGAGCTAACAGAGTATATGATTTCCATTGTAAAATATGAAGATTGACTCTTTTCTAGCAGTTTTCATGCTCTTTTGGTTAAGCCCAGAGTTCACCAACCAGAATCTCTATGCTTTGCAAGTACTGATAAGAGACTGGCTGCGGCAGCTCCTGCTTTCCCTGTTAGGGGCTGTTACATCAGTTTCCAACTGTCCACCAGTGATGATCCCATCTTTCATATTAGGCAAATTCATGGGTGCTTCATTTTCAGTGTGTGTGATAATGGGCTATGTGACTCCCCTCAGTAATGATGCTTATTAATTCTGAGCTTCTTGGATAGTTTTCTGACTTTTAAGTACAAACTGTCTTCAGTAATTCTAAGATACACTGTGAGAATCACACTCTGAAGAGACTTTTGCTTTTTTATTTCCTTCTTCTATGAGAAGACTCTTTTGTTAGCTCATAATAGTCATGCATATATCAAATTTAGGACAATGCCCAGGACTTGACCTGGCTGATGTCCAAAATATTTCTTTTCTTGTCTGCAGACATCTCTCAAAACATGGCTTCCCAAGCCCCTTTAGATTCTTTCTTTGTCTCCTAAGTGGCTGTTCTTACACTACTTTTGCTTTAGGAGTACCCAAAGTTCTGCAAATGATGGTTGAACCATAGTTTTAAAAATGCTACAAGATGTTATCCTAAACTAAAGCTTCTTTTATTCCAAATATGATAGTCATCTCCCTGAGAGACAGATGAATGAAGAGGAGTATATACTTCTTACTTTTTTGATCCTGTCTTCATAATCCAGTCGTGAGACTTGAGATCATTTTAGAAAACCTGAGATGTTTGCATGTAAGTAGAAATAGCAGCAACAAAACCTTCCTAAATTTACGCTGGGCTTAAAAACAGGAAGAACAGCCACAGAATTCAAATGCATGTCATCTGGACTATTGGCGTTCCTCCAGAGTACAAAGGATGCTTATCTACAATGCGGTGTGGAACAGAATGTGAAAAAGAAAATGGCTGCATCAAGGATCTTCATAGCAAGTAAGGATTCCAAAGATCATTGAACTTGTCAAGCTTTCCTTCCAGACCCCACTGCCAAGCACCAAAAGAACACACTTTTCATAATATGTTAATACATCATATACCATGAACATACAAATCACCCAAATGGAACCTCTAGGAATCTTTGATTAAAAAACCATACTTCAGATCTTTTTAAAACATTTTAACTTTTTAAAAACATTTTGGCCTCTTGTGCACCCTAACAAGTTAGCCTTTTTCTTCCAATTTCTCAAGATTGTGTGCAGATATGGCAATTTTTCATGCTCTGGGGATAAAGAAATTACAATGCAGAAATAGAAGATGTGCCAATGTCTAAAATAAGCCCTCCGTATTCTTTAGAATGAGCTCACTAACCCATCTAAGCCAGAACTGCTGACTGCCATCCTTCTTACTTGTGCTTGCAGAAGGCTGGGTCTCCTCTTCCTCATGATGCTCATGGTGAATGAGAGGAGAGTGTGGGTCCTGGGTCCAGTTTTCTCCATAATCACTGGTGCCACTTCTGTCCACATCTGCCGTGATGATGGTTATATATACTGTGACTTTTTAGCAACCAACCTTTGATGGTTCTGTTCTTCCATTAAAGTACATGCTATTTAATGTTTCAATGCCTAAGCAGTACCTTTGAGCATCTTCTCTCGCTACTTTTGAGTGACTTCACTAACCTCTCCCAAGAGAAAACCAACAGGCATGGAACTGCTTAATAAGTACCTGTTATTCCACTATAACCACTTTGTCAAGGAAAGCACCATACATATTCATTTTTATAATGAAGTAACAGAAAATATCTTGTGCCCAAATGGTATGATTGATAAATGACTCCTAAATCGAACTAAAGATCCTCATGGAAGTTCCCTAGGAATTTGTAATGAGACATTACCTAAACTTCCCACTGTGTCCCAATGATTGAACTTTGCAACATCATAGACTTTGAAGACAAAAATCTTTAAGTATGCATAACCCATTACCAGTCATCCTTGTGGTTGTCTGAGGTAATACTTCTGGACTCGAATGGCCTGTGCTCCACTGCATCCAATCCTGGTTCTGTTTTGGGTGGTTAAAAACCCGTGATGTAGTTGAAACTGTGATAATGATGATTGAAGTAATTAGGAAAAAGTTATTTCTTGAGCCTTCACCACTTGTTTGCAAATTTCTCCCTTCTTTAGTCTATACAGTGAATCATCTATACCCGGTTCTATAGATGGTTCAGTGGAAATGGAGGGAAAGCAGAGAGGGCCTTCAGCTTGATTCAGCCACACTGTGAAGCACCTCAGTGTTCTTGGCATTCTGTCATAGGAAATGCTGGGGTCAGAACATGAGATCTTCTGGACAAAGGAGCCAAAGAAGATGCAGCAGAAGGAAGAACAGCTTTGAAAACACCAGCCCTCCACCAAGGAGAACCACAGATGTCAGAGCTTTGCGCATCCATGCAGTCTGTGACGGCCCTCTGCACCTGACAACCCCAATCATTTGCATCCCCGCCAAGTGTGCTACATGTAGATCCTCAGCCTAAGAGGATACCTGAAAGTTATATCATGATGACCACTTTATTTCGTTAGTCGTTTTGGTAGGAAAAGAAACACCATGAACAGTCAGAGTTTTCCAATGGATGATCGATTCTAAGAAAGAGAGTATCTACCTTTAACAGCCATATGATTTAGCTATACATTTCCAAGTGTTTATCAAGCACCTATGGCATTCTCTTCAGATAAAAAGCATTTCATGAGCAAGCCATTCATAGCCAATGAAAGAGAAACAAGATGCATACATTTTGTAGAGAAACACCACAGGTAACCAACCACCATCACAGCAGCTCCCCGAAAAATAAAAAAGAGGCATCTATCCCCAGCCCTGATACAGTCACCCCAAATGATAGGGCTAGGATAGGAGATGCACCCAACAGAAGGATCATGACAACATCAAGATCAGTAACTTTTGAGAAAAGATTATTTGCAAATCCATCCCAATGCTTTCAAACTTTATTTTGGTACCCAAGTAATGCAAAACTCCTTTCAGAACTGTAATACTATCAGCTCTATTTCACAAGAAAATCAGCTTTAGAATCCTTAAGTACATTCTCAATAAGCATGAAAAAATGTCAGTTATCATATACCTACAGAAGAAAGGAGGCATCCTGCTGAAATTGGAAAATATGCCACGGAGATGAAAAATACCACAGGAAGTGTTCCCCTGGAGCTTGATCACGCATTTTATTTTCAGGTTGATCTGTTTGTATTGCCACCCAGGACAGTTTAGCTTCATAAGTGTTAAGACCGTATTTGTACTGTTCATCACACATCAAGGATCAGGTCTACATCCTGAACCCAGGAGACAGTGTTAATAGTAAAGCTCCAGTGTTTGGGGTTCTCTGGTTTTCTTCTGAAATTACTAAAAAGAGTTTCCTTGTTCCACAGACTAAGCTCTGCAGAGGGGTCCAGGCTAAGGAATACAGCACTTCAAAGCTTCAGTATAAAGCATCTAGTTCATCTTGAGTATTTGTTGTATCAGTGCCATATACTCAGATGTCTTTAAGGCCTAAGTGATTTTTGGACCCTACTATTTGGGAATGCTATTCTCAGGTGTCAGTAGGACAGACAGAACTTCAGTGACCTGAGAGAGCTCGTGTAGCACCCCAAAGGAACACCTTCTCTGAGCAAAAGCAGAGCTGTGATAGATCCAGGTTCAGGACTGTCCTCTCTATGCAGCAGTATCTTAGATTATTACAGGTACATAGAGGAACCTCAGTCATTCTGGCAGAATATTTTTGCATGCCTTTTTAAAAAGGATATTTTTAACTCAATTTCCATTTATAATTGTCATAAATTTGGAAACCATTATGCAGTGGTTTCACTATTTATTTTTCATAATTAGCATTGTTTTGTTAAAACTCAGCTAACATTTGCCCTTCTTTTCCATAGACATTTCTATTATATTGGTGCCCAGTTCATTTGTTAGGGCTCTGGATTAGTGCTCTTGACCTCAACCAGATTTTGATTAAAACAACTCCTGAGTTCTGGTTCCCATCTTTTAAACCTTTCTAGCACCTTGTAAGTCTCCAATTTAAGATCATCTGTACCTTTTAATACCCTCGCATTCACATTCTCCACATGGTCTATTGCTTCAATAGACCATGAGCTCCTCGAAGGCAAGAGCTCTGGCTTTTCTCATCTTTCTGTTCCTAGCACCTGGCCCAGCATGTACACAATGAGTATTTGTTGTAATATTTTACTAAGCCATTCTCTGAGAAAGCTCAGTAAGTCAAAGAGAATCTGTAGCACAGAATGCATAAATAAACATAACAAAAAGAATATGAGGCATTAGGAATTTTATAAAAAATATTTTTCCCCTTTAACTCCTTTCAGAACTATAATACTATCCAAATATGTTCTGGCTTCCATTTATAAAAAATCTATTTTTTCCTTCATAATCTCATCAAGGTATAATGAAAGTGTGATCATAGGCTTATGCTCATTTTTCATATTAACTATTTCCCAAGACAGATATTTTCAGGCATCACTCAGATTAATTGGTAAGCCTTGCATAAATGGTTCTACCGTAATTGATTATTCTTACTGGTGCTGGAGATAAAATCTTCATCATCATCAATGCCTGATCCAGAATAACTGGGGTGTTTGTCTCTTTCATCTTCATTTTCTTCAGTTGGCTCCCAGCCTGCTGAGATGATATTTGAATCCGTACCTGTTGTGGTGACTTGTGTTAGTGGCTGAGCTGGATGCCAAATAACCCATTTGACAAAGGAAGAAAATAAGGCACAGAATATATAACAAAATTCCCAAGACTGTAAGAAGGAACTGAGACATTTGACTTGTATACCCCGAATTCTTATAGCCTGATCTCTGACGCTAATATATACATCTAAAAACAACTGGCTCTGGTCTTTACAACTGAATATTCTCTTTAAGGAAGTTAAAAGAATAAATACAGACATAACCCCACCAAAAAAGAAAAAGAAAAAGAAAAAACAGGCCAATAAACACTCCCCTATGCTTTCAGATGCATTTATTATTAACTTATTAAGCATATGCCACTAAAGCTAGGATGTGAAGCTAGGATGGAAAGGTTTCATCTGTGCCTATTTGCTTTGTCAAGCCACTATCAGAAAACCCTAGTTCTTCTCTTTCTAAATCACTTCTAAAATCCTATAGCTGTATTCACAATTTGCTAATTTGCTTTTGATCTTCTCTAGTATCAGATCACTGTAGCTCTGATGTGAATGAAATCTACATTGCAGTTCCCAACAGTACTTTAGCATACAGCAAAAAAAAAAGTCAGTTAACAAAGAAATCATGTCTGACATTTACTGGTTTATCAAAAGGGTTGGCTAAAGTGGACTGTAGCCAAGATTTTGAGAAATTCTTACTCTTGGATGCAATCATAGGAAAGGAGATGGATACCCTCCACCTCTTTTTCAGTGGTTATTGGAGAAGATGTCTCTCTGATGAAAAGGGTTTCCTACATTTTGAGATTCATGTTATCTTTTGGAATGGCCATTCTTTGCATACTATTAGTGCCCACCCCACGAATAATTCCACTGATGGAGATTTTCTATAATTTGTTGGCTTTAGCTATGCTATTTTATTTTCTCATGAAAAATGAAGAACTTTTTATGATATAGGGTTATTTTAGGATATCTTTCAGAGTTAAAATTTTGTTCAGTCATCAAGAAAGACCTGGCCCTTTTCACAGTTCCCTAATTAGCCTCTTACTGGGTTATATTAATTCCAAAGTACAAGGAAGAAATCTGCTTATTAGAACTATAAATCAAATATATATTTCTGAGCTCATGAGCCTTCTAAAGTCATCAAAAAGATTTGTGAAGCCAGAATGGACTTTTAGACTTTGACACTATCTCTGAGGTCAATGAGAATTATTGAAGATTGCCAAGAAAGCATACAAATGAGATAATAAGAACTCATTACCAGCCATTACTGTTGTTGTGTGAGGATGATTCTTGGGCTCTGATGGTTGAAACCACCATGAAAACCAGTCCTGGGCTCCTTGCCTCTTGGTTGTTGTTTTGGGACTTGTACCGCTAGTGCTCAGCAGAACTGCTGCAACCATAATCGGATTGATTGTTGAAAGGTTAATTATCAGGTCCTAACAAATAGCACTGTATATGCTCTTACTCTTTTACTACCCAAGAAAGTCATCTATACTTGATATAGATGGCAGAGAGAAAGGGAAAAAGCACAGAAGTTCCAATTCTTTCAGAGGCCCAAACTGGAATTCATAGAATGTCAGAGATGGAAGGAACTTAAATATCATCCGGTTCATGCTGCTTATCTTAAAGATGAAAAACTGTGCTGGGTAGACCTTGACTTTACTGAAGTCAAAAAGGCTAAACAATAGAGAGATCTCAAGGAGGACCTGAGAAGCTGTCTTTGAATTTTGAAAGGCTATAATGTATAAGAGGCATTCAATTTTTGTCCATGCTCCCAAAAGCCAATCAGGACCTGTGATGAGAATTTCAGGGAGATGAATATTTTCCCAAATGTTGGATTTGAAAAGATAATAATCTGAGCTATCCAACAATGAGCTTGTTCATACAGTATTATGTTCTCCACCATCAGAAAGATCACTTAGCAGGAAAATTGCATAGAGATTAAATGATTAGAAGTATTCATTGAACTAAGCCATTTAAGATGCTCTCCAAATCTGGGAGTCTACGATTCTAAAAACCAGCTCTTCAGAGCCATAGCCTTTCATCTTCTACACATTCTATCTTGGCTAATCAATATCATTCTCCAAGAATTTAGGGTATGATATTTCTGCCAGCAATCCCAGACATACAACCCCAGCATCCCAGACACATGGAAGAACAACATATGAGGCAGAAGATTGAAGGAGATGCCTTTCCACTTTTCTTCACTCAGTGTCCAGATTCTCTGGCAACTTTGCCCATGGTCACATTTTATATCAACACCATATTTTGGGAAGCAGACAGCATGTGCTGAGTCCCAGTATTTGAAAATAGGATGATCAATAATGAAAGACAGAGATGAAGTGACCCAGTGACCTCATTCCTAAGACCAGAAGTGGAAGTCCTGATTCAAAAACTTCCAAAGACTGCCATTTCTGTAACCATAATGTGCATCAGAAAAATATTAGATAACTGTAGATGAAAAACAGCAAAATTTCCAGCTGAGGCAGAAACCATCATTAAATTCCCAAATACAAAAGGAAGGTGAGTTTGATTTCTTTTTTTTTCAGCTCTCAAGAAAACCCAGAAATGACCCAACATGCAGCACTGATGAGAAGAGATTTTCTTCACAATGTTTGTCCTACGAAGATAAACATTGTCATTTAAAAATAGAATATTCTTTATTCTTTAATCTTTCTCCCCCCTTTCTCTCCAGCATTATCTTAATCACTAGGATCTGCAATCATAGCATAATGTTATAAGTATATATACACTTAACAAATGTTGATGACCATTTTTATTACTTTTTTTTTGCAGAAAGAATACATAATTATTTTGAAATATGGCCATATCCTCCACCAACTTAAGTTAATAAGTGAAGATACACTCATAATATCCCATTGTTATAGACTTGGAATCTTTTCTCACAAAAGCTTTCAAGTCAAAAACTTTATAGAGATTTAGATTTAATAGTCAAACATCCAGGGAGCTTGTTAGAGGCTTAGAGGCTGATATAAAGCAACAGGGCACTTCTTGCACTTTACAGTTAAAGTTTTAGATGTCCAACAAATGTCCAGGGCCTAAACTTGCCATCCATAAATCATATTTCCCTCTATTATTATTGATTATGATAATTATATCAGTATAAAATAGGAGCATTCATTGTCTAATAGACTTCTTCCAAGAGGACATTTTCTGAAGGAATCTCCTAATCAAAGCCTTTGAAAGAAAAATAATTCTAATGCTATATGCACACTGCCAAAGGAAAAACAAGTAGGATGTTTAGGGGTATCCAGTAATATCCCAGGCCGCTCTGATAAATGAAACGGTACCAGACCCTATTCTCAGTAAGGATGGTGACGGAGCATCAGTAGGAAACTCTGGCATAGTAATGGATGTCCTTCTGCTTAATACTGAAAGGCTGGGCATCAGGACAATGGAGAAGCAAAAGTCAGAACAGTTTACCTGTTGTCGCTGTTGTCTGATCCTGAGTCTTAGGCTGTGAATTACCAAACCAGGACCATATCCAGTTATTTTTCTCCTGAGCTGCTGCATGGCTGTTTGAGTGCACAGTTGAAGTGACTGGATCAATTATGAAAATATCATTTAGTAAGATCTTTCTACAAAGCCTTTACTCTCAGCTCTGTATCTAATGTCTGTATCTATTATAGAGCGAAGATAAGAAAAGAAAGCTTGAGGCCTAGTTTTATCTTCCAGGTTCCTGAAATCTCTTAAAATCTTAGGGCAACATCAGAGATGCAAATTCTTTATGGGTATCAATTCAGTGGTACCCATTCTTCAAATTGTAACCCTTGAATACAGGCTCGAAGATTGATCAAGTAGGAACTTAATAACCTGTGATGGAAAAGAGATTTTATGACTGAGTGACCCAGCCATGAACTGAAGGTCTTTGATGCACATTTCATAAAGTTGTTTTCATTCATGTATTTTTAGAGTAGCTTTAGAGGTGCTTGCTTGTATCTTTTGGGTCTGCCATCATTTTACCAAGGTAGCTTGTGATGACAACTGGCATTTCAAAGCTCCACCCATACTCATTAACTTTAAGTCAAGTCTTATATTTGAGTAGGAACTTTGCAAAGGGCGTGTGTTCAAACTGTTGAAATTAGATAAAGTTTTCTCAAGTATCCGTCTATCACTCTCTATCATTCTTAATTCTAATTCAGAATATATTTCTAGGAAAGAAACAAAAGTATCCAAATCAGAGAAATTCTGGATGTTATTCAAATTAAAGAAAAGGTAATCAGTAATAATTTTGCAATTTGCAATTTCCCATTTGACTCTCAAGTTCCAATGTTCCCTTGTAGAAGAAGAATGGCAAAGATCATTCGGATAAACATCTAAAGAAGTTGAGATTTTTAAAAACCATTTTGAGTCATATACCCCCTTGAATGTCTGATATAAATTATGGCTTTGTCCTCAAAAAGATGATCCTACACATACACATTCTCAAAATTCTGCAGGTTATTCCAAATTTCTCTTGAATACATTATAGAAAATCACTGAACCTACTAGAAGTCCATGAACTCCAGATGAAAATTTTTGACTCTATATACACCAAAAGTCAACAACCTGCACAATATGTTCCATACAAAAAAGGACATATTTGCACATAACAGAGAGTAGAGAGTAGAGAAATGGGAGCCAATTTCACTAGTGACACCTTCAGATAAACCTGAGCATCTGCCTGAAAATCTGCAGATGCCCCATTTTTACTTCACAAACTTTAAAGATGTCAAACTGCTGCCACTCTCGCCCTATAGTCCACAAGGAAGAGACCCAACAGAAAGCACACATACAAGAGCAAGTTAGGAACAGGCATTAGTTCTGCCTTCCTGAAAGGAGTTGTACGAGATTTGGGAAAAACCGAAAAAGTTACTGCTTAGCCAGCCAGCAGTTTCCAATTTTTCCCCACTCAAGAAAGCCATGCCAGACTGTATGTGTGTACGTATACATACATATACATACATACATATATATATATATGTTTCTTTGACACCCAGAAGATAAAGAAATAGAGAATTCTAAGGCAGCAATCTACTTCCTGGATTAGTTTAGGTTGCTGGATTCCAAAGAATTCTGGATTACCAATAGAAAAGAGGCAGATAACATGCCTCTGTAAAGGTTCTTCCAAAAATAACATTTATAACAAAAAGCCTGCTGGGAGTCAAAACCTACCCAGATGGTTGTTCTTACTGGCTTTCCCTATTGCCACCCACTGAGGACCTCGAGGAAGGAATGAGCCAGCCAAACCAAAGACAGCGCTTCTTTATACTCAGCTGGGCCTCCTCTTGACCTCCGCCCTCCTGTATGCATTAGGGAGGATTTGCAATCACTCCCTCTCACTATGTCCCAGGTCTCAGTCCAACAGTTATGAGGTTTGGAGAATCTCCTCACAGGGGCTTAGGAAATGTGGGCCATTTAGGAATTTATCATTGCTAATTTTCTCTAGTATGCCATATGCTATGTTCAAGCTTCCACCTGATTGTTTTCTTCAACACCTTTCTTTGCATGGACTGATTTACACAGAGTTGCCTTTGGCCTCAATGGATCCTAGAGCTCTTCATTCACTCTCAAGTTAGCTCTGGACTCGAGTCTTTCCCTTCCTAATTTACTAAAAGAAACTTAGCTAAGTGCTCTGAAAGGAGGAAAGCACAATTCCTTTCTCAGCCCAAATCGTGAGCTATGTTTTCATTAAGACTTGAAGCAAAAATATTCTTGATTTCTGAACAGTGTATAGGCTCCATGAAGGTAATTAGAGCAACATCAACTTCAAATATTGGTTAAATGAATGACTAGTTTCCTAATCCTTACCTCTCTTCAGTATTACTTTCTAATGGTGCTTATCCCTGGGTCCCAAACCTTAGAATACACTTGGTACATAGTAGGTCCTCCTAATGCACTTGCTGACTAACTCACTCAGGCAGGAAAGATTCAGTCCTTAAAAGATGTGCCATGAATATTCACAAAATGTCTTCTTGACTGTTTTAAAGCACATGTGAAATATTATTTTATATAGGCTATTACTGGCTTGAATGTTAACTTTACCTAGTTCCCACAAGATAGCTTTGGTCATGGTTTTGTTCTTTGGTGGAAAATTTTGGTACTCTATGGAAGACCTGATCTGTTTCTTGCTGAGACCACTAATAGTTGTTTGTCAACATTTAACAAAATTGCACACCCTGATGGCAAGCCCCTTCTATGGGGCTACTTCACAAAGGCAGGAACTCGAAAAGCAGCAAACAGCTGGGAGCACTGCCTGCCTGGTTTACAGAAGCTTCTCTCAAGGGCTGTCCACAGGGTCATAGACCATGAAGTGACAGTCTCCAGAGAGCCACTCATCTGGGAAAGCATATCTGCCTTTTGAAAAGCTTCTAAGAATCTGCAGAGACTGACGAGAACCCCAGTCTATGGGTACCACCCCCTCAGAAAGCAAACAGAAATTTAAAATACTATTGAGCAAGTAACCTCCCATTAAATCGTAGTGTTCTGGAGGTTACCCTGGCTCCTGAGTGACGAGGGTAGACAAGGGCTCTGTCTTGAGCATTCACAAGACAGTAAATTCTGGCCACACTCCTTGGAGATCAGAGTCCCATCCCTCAAGAGCCACAGCCAGGAAAAGAGAAAATCCACACCATACTAGGAAAGTTACTTAGGAGGCAGATGCCCTATTTGAGTTTGAATAATCCTCTGCAGCAGGAATGCGGTGGATCTGGAAACCTGTTTTAAAACAAACCATAGGGAAAAAAGCAAAGAGGGAAGTGAAGGGGAAGACAAGAGGGAGATGTAAACACTCCAATGTCAGCAAGGCACAAGAAATTTAAACGATGTTTACATACTTCCCTCCTGCAGGCCGAAAGTAGTGAATTACCCACATGTCCATGCAAGAATTAAGAGCCTTCCCCTACAGGCTGAGGTATAAAACTCTTAAGCAGATTTAATTTGATAAGATAACCCCTTCCAATATGCTTCCTCAGACCAAACACAAAGGAATTGTTTAGGAAATATTGGGTGATGAATAAGACTGAATATTATACAATCAATAATATGAGTGTAAATCAGGTTACAACATAAAAATATAAAGTTCAGCTGAAAAAAGCAGCTGGATGAAATAGTCTGCATACCTGATGATCCGAACTTGATGAAAACATAAGAACAAGAGGGAAACGTGCAAAAATGAAAAGAGCTTCTCTAGCAGGCTGCAATTGTCATCATGGCCCCAGGACAAAGAGGACACAGGAAGTTCTAAAAAACTTCCAGTATGGCACTTCTTATCACAAAGTAAGAAAAACAGGTGTAGGTGGGGGGAAAAAAACTGTAGGCAGTAGCTGTCAGTGCACACAGGACACTAACAACTACAACAGCCACCTCCCCAGAGGATGTCACCAAATCCCAGAGACAATGGACAACCGACACATGAGTGCCTACCGCTCGGAAGATCAGAGGTGTGTTTGCAAAAGAAGGGCTACTGGGCAGCACAGTGACCCATTCTCCTTACTGGTCGTGTAGGTGTTCTCTGGGTGGCTGGACACGGAGGGGCTGTCTTGGTTGCGGGTCGGGTGTGCAGTTGGAAGGAGGGTGTGGAAGATGCTGTAACCTCCTGATGTGCTTCTCTCGCCAGGGGACCCACTGCTCACGTCATCATCAGTAGGGTTGCTAGGGTTGATGTCCTCAGGGTTTGTTCTGTATTCACCCTTCTTGGTGTAGCGGGTGCCATCCCGGTTAACGATAGCTGGGAGAGAGAGAAGGCATGTTCAGAACGTGACAGCTGAGTAAGGTCCTGAGCATAGGAAATACACATTTTCTGAGTATGGGAAAGATTGTGGTTTATCATTTAAGGGTGACTTCAAAGCTATTTTTCCTTTTTATTGAGCAAAACAACCCCTAATTAAACACATATAGGAAGTTTATACCCTTTGTAATTACCTTTCAATATTCCAGCTATATCAAACAGAAAATCTGGGGGGCTGCAATGTCTCTAATCCTAATGCTTATTAATTCTCCTTTATGGGAGAGAACCTAGCTCAGACTCAGGCTTTAGAAGCTAGAGTTTAAGAACATCATTTAATTTTTCCTACGTTTAACTTATTTTTAAGGTTACTTTCTACTTATGACTAGGGATGTTTGTTTTCCATTTGTAGTTATTTTTTTCCCAAATAAATGTATTCTAAAGAGAAACAAATGGGTTAATAAAATGGAAAATGTAAAGTGATACTGCTGTGTACATAGAGATGAAAAAAAAATGTGAAAGTAGTTTTCGAATGACTGAAGTTTGAGGAACAGTGTATTAGGGTAAACCAGAGAGCAGTTTCAAGCCATCACAGGAAAAGGGGACGAGACAGTGAATCGTAGCCAGTGTCCCCAGCCTTAGGGAAATGACTGTGATTCTATTCAAACATAAAACAAAGTTCAAGAATGAGGAAACTCAACCAAGTTTAGAAGAGGCACCTACTTATGGTAACTGGTCCTTCCCAGGCATTGGGCAGGTCTGTGACTGATGTGCAATCTTCTTCAGGTGGAGCTATAGGGTAGAAAAGAAAAAAAGGCATGAGAACTCTACAAAATATGAGCAAAACTGATGTTCATTTCATTAGTTAAGATGGAGTTTTATTATAATTTACCCTGAATAATTTTCTTTTCCTCAAACTTGTTTAAGTCTCCTCAGAATGTCTCTGACCTTCGTGATGCATTTTTTTTATTTGTGTTTAGCTTCATACATTGTTTGGAAGCTTAAGTGTTTCCCTTCCCACCCCAATGAATTCATTCATTAACAAAGATACATGTTCTATATCAATCATTGTGGAACGCTGGGGTACATGGCAAATGACATAGTCCTTCTCTGAGGAAGCATGCATTAGAATTTATTTTTGTAGTTTGTTACTATAAAAGCAACATGGGAACATTTAAAAAAATTTTAAACAATTTTAACTTAAATTTAAAAATTTAAGTTTTTGTTTATTTAAAAACTATAAAGAAATGTATGAACTATAATGAGAAGAATCATGTGTAATCCCAATAAACCACAGAAATGATGGAAAACTGGGGCAGACAAATACAATCAAGTGTTTATCAACATGAACAGCATGAACATCTGAAGATTATAACAATCAAAGAATTTACTTGATAGAAACATTTAGGAACAAACTAATCTCTAGTCTTTTTATTAATGCATTAATATCTTTATTAATTTAACTAATCTCCTTAAGCACCTACTGTATAGACTGCCTCTCCACATGTTGTTTCTGAGGTTGTCTACCTTTGGGCTAGATGCCCAGAATATTTCCTGAGGCAGTGTTTGGTGTGTCTCACCATGGGCCCCTCTAGCTTCTTTTCATTTCTCCTCCATTTATCTTCTACTTTTCCTCTTTCTTTGGGAATAAAGATTTCTGACTGCAGTGTGGGCCGCCCACCAACATTACTAGTAGCCCTTGGCAAATAGGTACTTAAAGTTCCACCCTGCATGCCACCCACTGTGTCCTAAAAAGAGGCTGCACAATGCTTTAATCAACTGTTGCATTCATGCCTAAATGCTGTGTTCAGTAGCTAGACTTTGTGCTGAGCTCTAAAACCCCAGAAAGCTTTAAATCAGCTTTGTTGTTACAGTAAGGCTCGATCCATTTGTTCATTATAGCTTTTATACTGTGTGTGTGTGTGTGTGTGTGTGTGTGCACATGTGTGCATGCTTTAATATACAACGACAACCTCTTTGATAGGTTGGTTTCTCCCAGAGTTGCTTCTTGACAAAAAGGAAGGAAGAAAGGGATAGATGGATGGGTGGTTGGGTGGATGGTTAAAGGGAGGCAGACAGGCAAGCTGCTATCACTAGGAAGGCTGTTATCACAAGTATTTTAAGTGTCCTGCCATAAATCACTGAGTACTCACAACATCAAAAAAAATGGGGTTTGGTTGCTTCCCAGTTCCTAGGAGCATCTTTTTCTACAAAGGGAATGCCTTTTACCTGCCTATTTCTTTGGCCTCAGAATGAAACTAACTGGCAGCTTTATACATTCCACTGGAAAAAAGATTTTAGGAAAAGTCATTCTTGCAAGGTCTGATTTAAAAAAGTTTTCAGAAGAGGAACTCTTCAGATTGTCAGGGCCCTGGTAAGGCCATTCCTCACCATCTGATCAAAACCAGCCCCTCACCACCCCCAACACCCATCATCAGAACATGTCATCTGCTTTCATTTCTTCTTCAGGCTTACTGCTATCTAAAATTATCTGGTTCATTTTACTTGAGGGCTGCTCACAGTACATCTCCCAATTCCTTTCCATGGCTGTTCACTCACCTCCATAGAAATATGTAAGCTCTACAAGATGAGTAGTAACCTTATCTGTCTGGGCCAGAACATTTATGTGTGATGGGGACAGAAAGGCACTCAATAAATATTTGTCGAATGCATGAAAAAGGGGGGAAAAAGTACCAATATAATTTCCCTAGGTTCCATTCTTCTAGTAAACATAGTTACGATGTTAACCCCCAAAGAAGTCTGCAGATATAAACAGATGAGGAAACATTTAGGCAACCCTGAAAGGCAACACCATAGGAATAATTAAAGAAAGTTTCAGATACATCAGTCCATTTATTCATTTTAAGCATTTACCCAACATACATGACAGATCACATAATAAAAAAGGAGCAAAAAGATGAACATGTTCCTGTCCCCACTTTAAGGAATTCATAAAGTCATGGGGGGCAATAATAATTAATATTTCTCTAGATTTTTATAGTTTTCAAAAAATTTTCCCAATGATTCCCTAACTGGAAAATCAGGGCAAATATAGCCAACCTGGGAAATCCTGAAGAGTGTCCCCTGTTTTGGGAACACCACTGAAAACTGGCCTAACCTGTGAAATGCCTCTGAATTGTTATGTTGCACAGACCCAGAAATGGGCCTTGGATTATGAGCTCTTAATGGTAGGGATGGAACAACCTTCTGAAATTCAAACACAACTGCAGGTAACAGTAATGCACTGGGGACTTCCAGGAGTTAAGTTGTTACAGAATGGGGCATGATGTTAAAGACACTAAGACAGTTTTGTAAATGATTAGGGCATTTGTTTGAATGGAGTTCCCCCCCACCCTGCCTCCCACTTCATGCTCCAGTTCATTTCACCATTTATAAAGAACATGAAATCTGGCAAGCATACTAAGATGGATGGTGACCCAAATGTGCAATTAATATGATCAAGCTCCCATGACAGGTAGCGGGACCTCATTAGGCAGCCTTTCATATTGCTTATCAGCACTGAATTGCTGGGAGAATCAGCCCTGGGAGGTTTTCCTGAACCCAAGGGCTTGTTGGAAAGACTGAGGTGGGCTTCCTGGTGGGCTGCTCCTCAGAAATCTTGCCTCTGCCACATCACAACAGCCAAGAGAAATGTTATTTATTGAAGCCAGCCAACCACTCAGTGACAAAAAGACACCTTCCTCAATGCCTGATACAATCTAGGCATCCAATGTATTTGTTGAATAGGTGAGTGAATGAATAAACAAATGAATGTAGACTTTTCCCCTCAGCTCTTCCTTCAAAAGAGCATAGGGCATTTTACTGAAAGCAAACTTAAAAAATGAACTAATTCAAGTCATTTCTCTGTGTTGGTGACACAGAAGTCACCAGGCTCAAGCTGAGCCTTACCACTGAGAGAGGAGGCAATAAAAATCACAAAGCTTTTTCAGGGTCTGCCTTATTTTCCTTTTGCAAACCATAGGCCATGTTTTACAAAAGTGCTATTGAAATTACAAGCACCCAGAAGCTATCTGCTGAGATGGAGCTGGCTTCAGTCCCTGTAGCCCCTTGTGAGGGGTCATATCACGGGGTCCTGACCACCTCCTTGCATGTCTTGGGCTGTCGGATTCAAGGATCTTTCCAATGAGCTCTTGCACAGAGCAGAAGGTTATCAAGATCTGTATCTCACTTAACACCCCCATCTTCTAAACCAAGACAGTCAGAATTTATTTATCCTTAGATAAACATTCTCCAGCTCCTTTATTTTTTCTTGTTGCTTCAACAAGATTAACTCCCAAGACAAAAATTACAGCCTCTATACTTTCTCACCAAACTCTGCCCAGCACTGTACTGAATGTATATAGTTGATCAATAAATAATCTTTTTTTAAACTTAAAGAAAAACTTATAAAAGTAGCCTATCCACATTGTGCCAATTTGGATAAGAGAAAAGGAAACATACCCCTTTCAAGCTTTACTACTTTAATACAGCTGTTTTGGTATGTAATACACTCCCAGGACTTCTCCAACTTTTCAACTGAACTAACCTCCCCTGCTCCTCCAAAAAAAGTCAGTCAGTACTGTTCACGCCCTTCTTTCAGGATAGGCCCAACATTATAGGCAAAAATGAGGGCAGGGGAAAGTTTCAGTAGTAACTTGCTAAATGGCTTCAATTCTAGGCAATAAAAGTTTTTCAAGTTAAGGTTCTTTCCAAAAAGTGATACCAACTTGTGAAACAGTGAGACAGTGTGAATACACAACAACATAATTTATTGCATACACTCACCTGACAAGACTCAGTGGGAGAAGCAAAATGCAATACCCAGAGACTGGCGAGAGGAAGCCTTTCCCACAGACCCAACCTGTCCATCTAATGCTCAAAGTCTTCCCAAAGTCTTCTGACCTGCGGCACTGAGATAAACTAGCTGGACCACATGGTACTCTGTGTCCATTTCCTACTTATTTGCATGTGGTCCTTCTCATTATCATGCTATCAGAATGGACAGTCTGGGTACGGGTATGGACCATGTCCTGTTTAGCCTTGTTGGACTCTCCTCCTTTAGGTCATACTCCATTTGTCTTCTTTGTTCATACAACAGGGAAGAAAAAAACACTCTACAGTTTTCTCCTCCTTCTTTGAAGTGTCCCTCCAGAGGTTTAGTGAGCTTTATATATTTGACACTGTGACTTCACATGCTCCATTTCAACTAATCAGCCTTTCTCTTTCTCCTATGCTTTCTCCTATTTTCTCTTTCTCCTAAACTCTCGATTTCCTTTCTTGAATGTCCACTCTGTTCCCTACTCCTAAAACAACAAGTGGGCAGAGTAGCCTAGCACCACTGATGTAACCTCCCAATTTCTTTGGTGCTCCTACATTAGTTTAAAAATCCATGCAAATTTTATATTCTAATATCATATACAATATCTGTTTGTTTCATAAAAACAATGCCTGAAGTCATCATCTAATAATACCTGTGTTTTTCTCATACAGATAATGTTAAGTCACTTTCTAACTAACAACTCCTTCTCATCTTTAAGGAAAACTGACATTCCAGGAAAACTTGTCAAGATTACCTTGTGGCTTCAATCTTCCCTTCACACAATCTCAAACATTTAGAGGGAACAGAAGGCCCAGTTTGAAAAGTAAATAATCAATCAACATTTGCTTGCTGGGATTCAAAGATTTGATATTTATAATTTTGACCATTTTCAAAAGACCAAATGATGCATAGGATTCTTGAATTTTTCTGGGGTCTGAATTAGACTTGTAAGCATGAGTTTTTAGGCTAAGCGGTTGGGCACAACTCCCTTAGGCAGAGAGGGGACCTGGCCAGCAGGTCAGTAGGCACATCTTAACTTGGCTTTCTTATTTTCTACCTCTGGAGCTCTAAATTGTTGAGAAAAAACACTCAAGGTCAAAGGCCTACTATGTATCCTCCCAGCCTTCTCTCCAGTCTACCCCAATATATAATAAACACCTCTAAGTTAAACCATTTGGTTGAGCCCCAGTACTATCATGTCTCTCCCCTATTCAAAACCCTGCAATGACTTCCCATCATACTGTGAATAAAATACAAACTCTGCCACAGCCTACAAGGTCCTGCGTGATCTGGCCCCTACTGACCTCTCTAACTTCACTCCTTGGCATTTGCCCCTCTATTCACTGGGCTTTATCACCCTGGCATTGCTGCTGTCCTTAGAATGGGCCACGAGGCTCCGGCAGGCCTGGCTTTGCTCTGGCTGTCCCCTCTACCCGTGACTTTTCTGCCTCACTGCAATCATGGCTCTCCTGAATGGCCTCTCCAGAGGAGGCACTTTCCCTGACCACCTTCTCAGACAAAGGCATCCCTAGTATTCTTAAGCCTCTTGCTCTACTCTCTTTTTTATAGGTCTTGTCACCCTCTGACTTCTTAGATGCTATTTAATATTTGTTTGTTTATTGTTGGCCTCCCCAACTTAGCAGGTAAGCACCCTCATTGCAGGAATCTTGTCTCTGCTGAACAGCTATTCAGTGAGCATCAGTTATGTGAATGGGAGCTGCATGAATGCCCACTTAAGCCAAGAATGAATTACTATCAGCCTCGCTGCCAAAGTTTGCGTCGCCAAGCAACCCGAAACACAAAGACAATCCACTTGGAACCAACCTGAAGCATTGAAGCAATAGGTGTCATAGTGGGAGGTGTTGGATGTGAGGATGTACACCCCTGTGTTGTTTGCTGCACAGATGGAGTTGGGGTGGATCCGGGGGATCACCACATGTCCTTCTATGAAGCCATACCTGCAAAAGAAAAACCAGAGGTTATACACATATGAGGGATTTCACATCAAATGACACCTCATACAGTGAATGCTTCATTCAATCCACCCCTAGGTATGCTAGAGTTTTCAATAACTGAGCTTGTGAAATCCAATAACAACAGCAGAGGGAGAGTGAAAAGGATCAGCAAAACTGATAGAGACAAAGCAATTTTATTTAGAGCTCTTGAAGGGCAAGTTTTAAAAAATAGACCCATGAAAGAGAGAGAATTAGTTTCAAATAAAACACGTGGGCAGCAGTGTCAAGTCAGTTTGAACAAGCAAAGGAAAGCCTGAGCCACGGAAGAGAAGAGAATGCCCACTTTACGATGTGAAATCCACTCTCCATTAACTTCGTATTTTCCAGAAAATACAATGAATGACCAGGTCCCACAAGATAGGACTAGAGAGCTCTTCATTTCCATCCACAAATGTCAAACCTGCCTTACTTCCCATCCCCTACTCTTCTATCCTGGCCTGTCTTTTTCCTGCAAACTTTCTTACTCCAGACTCCATTACTTTAAACATGAAGCCTTGCTCATATGCCAGATGCACAGCACATTTTGCCTCATGACCATCCTAGGCATCATTTCATTGCCAGTGGAAGTAAATTGACTGTCATTGAAATGGGGGAACAGTGATTAAGTCATTAGATAGATAGCAATGCCTCGTGTGGGTCAGGCATGTCCCAGAGGCAGCAGCCAGAGAAGTCCTTAAGCCCCTCTGCCCCACCAGGGTGTTTCTGGATGCATGTTGGAGCCTCGGAAGCCCTTTCAAATACAACATACAGCACCCAGCCCCTTCTATCTGCACCATGGTAACTAAAGCACTCACTCACTGCACAATTTCTCCTAATATAAAATCCCTCCAAAAATGAGAGGGGGGCTGAGAAAATAACATTTGCAAGGAAAGGTGGTGACAGGGATAAGGCAGAGCGGGAAAGCCAAATCTAGCAAGTTTTTGAAACTGCATCGTTAGCTAAACGCACAGCATAGATCCTTCTCATCTTTCCTGCCAAAGGGAAACTCTACACAGTGCATCGCCCTGCAAAGCCCACGGAAAAGGCTGTGAGCTTGACATTTCTAAGCACATAGAACTCATTAGGCTTATGTTGCAATTGTAGACCACATGACTAATTCCTCTTCTGAAAAGACAGACTGGTTTTTCCAAAAACTTCTTAGCTTGGTGGGGGGAGGGGACACAATTAAATGTTAATAAGTTTCCATCTATCCCAGAATTGCTACTAATCAGGGTGGGGCAGACAAAAGAGAGGAGCTGTAAGGTTTTCTCGCAGTCTTCTTGCAGTCTGTGAGACTGTCATCCGTCCCATTGCCGGTACCTGATTCATAGCTACCTGAGTGAAATTATGGAAATGAGTTTTGCAACACTTATTCCCAGCCATGGGTGGAACGATAGATTTCTTTGGCACAGTTTCCTTTTCTTTCTCCCTTCCTTTTTAAAATAAGTATACGTTTTGGTGAGCCTGTTCCCCACCCCACCCCATCACATTTGGCAAGTCTATGTAACATGGATGTTCTCAAATCTACATTCCGTTTTAAAGTTATTCCTGAGTTTTTGCCACGTCATGCCGACTGCCAGTTTTATGTGTCGCACTGGTGAGTTGCGATAATGAAATTTACATGTGTGTATACTGTGGGGGCAGGTTGCTGTTGACAGGGAAGTAAGAATACTCAGCCAACGGTGTGGTGTGGCATACCTCCATCTCCCTTTGCTCTCAGTCCTTCAGGAGGGTTTGGTCATTAAAATCTTGCCAGGGGCTCAGACCGGAATCCTGACTCCCCTCCTTTTCAAGGGCTGTGTGGCCCCTGTAAAGCCACGGAACTTCTCTAAACCTCAGTCGGTTTATCCATAAAGTGGAGCAATAATGACCAACCATGGTGTAGTCTGAGGATCAGGTGAGTGGACATGGGCAGGTGGGCAGGAGGGCGCCCAGCACCCACGTGCTCGAAGGCAGGCCAGTGGGAATAGTAAGAACATTTCTTGCTTTCTGCATATAGGAACATTTCTCTATTTTGTAAATATGCCTTGTCCGTATTTTACAATCAAAATTCATTTTACTAAATCCATTTTCTTAGGCTACTGGCCTAGTCAGGGCCGTATTTAAATAATTAGTCTTGGGAGTAGAATAAATGGATCTACTAATTGGTCCTCCTTCATGGCAGCCTCCTGCTCAGGTTCAGTAGCTGTCTCCCTTTCTCCGCCCCCTTTGCGTTCCCCCAGACCTAGCTCTGACCACACGCATGTCTCTGTACATCTATCTGCTCTTTGTCTTGGAGCTAGTGCTGCTCCAAGCGTACTCTCCGCAACAGTGGAATATCCTGTAATCTATGTTGTCCAATACAGCAGTCACTAGCCATTTGTGGTCAACTGAGCACTTGAATCAGCTAGTGCCTCTGGAGAACCAAAGTTTTAATTTGATTTAAGAGTTAACTGCCACTTTATTAAGGGTAACCTGTGGCTAGTGTCTACCATACTAGACAGTGCAATTTCAGAATAAAGATTTCCCTGTCCTTTTCAGCAAGACTCTCAGCTACCACTCATAATGGGACTGCATTACTCTGTAACCAAAGACAGGGGATAAATATATTCAACTTAAATTTAACGGTTTCCATAAACAGTTCTGCAGCTTGACTTTTAAAAAGCAGTGTGTGTACACTGAAGAGAAAAGGGAACAAGGCCGCTTAATGACATTGCACTGCAAAAACAGACGGGGTAGCTGTAGGCGAGCGTGGAGACCACAGAGCAGTTGCTCAGACTGCCCAGAGCTCTTCTAGTGAAAACGAACCCAACCAAAACACCGCACCATGGTCATCCGCACTGCTCACTCTTAATATGCACCATTGACCACGGGGCCGTCAGAATTCAGAAAAACAAGGCCTCCGTTTGCTATGATTGTCTGGAGCAGAATGGCGTGCAGGGGACTCAGGCAGCATTGTGATGGGTCCTTCCGCAGTCTCTCCAACTGCATCCTAATCACTGTAATAACATATCTGCATAAGTTTCAGGGCCTTTTGTTTTTTATTTATCCTCTCAAACCAGAGCAACACAGAAGAGAAACAAGAAGAGAAAGCTGTTTGCAAAACCTGCTTTGAGCCAAGTGTGCAGGGCCAAGACTCCACCAGGTACACATTTATTTTAAACACTTGTACTTGGTTTCTGCTTCCTTGTTATTCTGACAATGATCTTGCATGCTTCTTCAAAGCTGGGAGAGTAGCTGTTGCAGCACTTTAGGCAAGAGGATTCCAACTATTGACCCTTAATGGCCTCCTCTGGGCAATCCCACTATGATTCACAAAGGTGTCTCTAGTGGGCCTTCAATTCCAGCCATCACGCAGGTTCCAGATTGACTTGGCAAATTAATAGGTGGGGCCAACCCTTCAGGTCATCATTCGATGTTCAGCTGTCAGGGAGGAGCCCACCCAGTTGGAAGCCCCGCCCCCTGGCCCCAGGCCTCCAGCTTTTGCAACAGGCAGGTGCTGGTCTCCTACCTGCAGGTTTCAAACCCGATGCTCAGAGCCTTCTCCATTTGGGCCATGGTGGGCAGGGTGCTGTTGAAAGCTTTGCAGAGGTCAGCAGCCTCCGTGCGTGAGATGCTGTACCGATCATTTTTCTCCACGTGGTATATACCTGCGTATCGGCAGGTTATATTCAAGTCTGTGGGATGAAACAGAGGCGTTAGATTCTTTGGCATAAATAATTTGGGAAGTGTAAGAAGTTCACTTTAGGATAGATTCATTAAAAATTCATATTAAAAAAAAAAACCCTCTCTACTGGCCAGAGCCTTCGACATTCACTCCAGCGTCCCAAAGCACCATTACATTAGGCTGGAAGGCTGACGTAAGACAGTAAAGTTGCAGCACGCTTAGATTCTCTCCATTGATTTCTCCACAACAAAGTTTTAAAACATCATGTGATTTATTCTGATTATTAAAGCAATACAAACTTGGGGAAAAGGGACAAAATTCAGGTAAGTAACAAAGGAAAAGCAGGCCCACCGCTAAGAAAGCTACTGAACATTTTAGACATTTTGTTATCTCTTCTTCAGTGTTTCTGAATATGTGTGTGAATGTGAAAATACATGTATGCTTGCATAGTTATATATATGATACATAGACACATAGAACATGTATATATATATATATATACACTTGCATTGTAAAAATAGTACTAAATATACAGTTTTAGATTTGGGAGTCTTTTTTCCCCACTTGATCTGATATTATGAGCATTTTCCCACAATCGTCTGGTGTCCGTCCCTCCAATGGCTTCAGACTGCACTCAGAATAAATTTCCTTATCATGACTGATAAGACCTACAGGATCTGGCTCCTATCTCCCTGTTTAACCTTTAAGTAGCTCACTCTGCTCTAGCATAAAGCTCTCCTTCAGTTCCTTTGGACATTCTGGGCCCTTACCCACCTTAGAACATTTATATCTGTTTGGAATGTTCTGTCTTCAGACCATCATATTTTTGTTTATCAACTCCAGATCACCTTGTGCTAGAGTCCTTCCCGGGATACTCTTACCCAAATACAGTGTCCCCCTCACCCCACTCTACTCTTGGGTCTTCACAGCAACTTGTTCATTTATCTCTGCATTTAGTTATTGTCCATCTGCCCTTTTTGTGATGAAATCTCCAAAATGCAAACGTCTCTAACTTGTTTACAGCTGTTTCTCTAATACTCACAAGAATGGCTGATAAAGAGTAGATGCTCAACAAATATTTGTGAAATGAATGAATGTCTCATTGCAATTTCCTCAAAAACATACTTTTAACATATTGACAGATCCAAGACCTTTTGTCTGCTCCCAAGGATTAGTGGCATTCAAAATGAAGCTAACTATCAAGTGGATCAAGAAGGATTTAACCCAAGGACTTCTGTGAGTTTTGCCATCATTAATCTGAAAATTAGGAGCTGAAAAACCATTTGGTTCTCTCGGATCCTGTGTAACAATCTCAAAAGACTTTAATTGAAAACTCATTATTTTTCCAGAACTCTATTTTCCCCATTTGCACGTGAGTAGATGTCAATACCAAAAAGTTAGGTAAAATCTCCTGAAGTGTGTGATTCCTCCTGAGCACCCTCTGAGCCCCCAAAGCAGTCCTTCTCTAAGGAAGCTTACTGGCCTGTCCTCTGGGCTGACCACACTGCAGCCCATGTGCCAGGCTGGTCACCACTGTGTTAGTTATGAGGCAGGTCTATATTCAGACAGAACGGGCTTTAACTCAGACTTTCTCACTTGAGCAGGTCTGGAGGTAGTCAGGCAGATTTTGCTTATCAACAAGAAAACTCAGGCTCGGAGTCATGAGCAGCTCAAGGAAGTGAGAATCTCTGTCCAGAGCCTGTAGTTGCCTTCCTGAATCCCAGTTGTGGTTCTACATTTCTCAGCTGACAGCTGGGGGAGGGGAGGCCTGTACTGCAGTGTTCCTGCACCTTTGGGGTTCTGTATTGTATCACCTTCCAAGAACTCTGAGAGGTGAGATTTATGTATGTATGTGCATATTATTTACAGACAAGGAAACTGAATCTCAGAAAAATGAAATGACTTTTCAAAGTCACCCAGCTATTAAATGACAAAGCTGGAAATCCATCTCAGGTCTGTTTAATGCCAAAACCTATGCTCCAAACCACTTTGCCCTGTGCCTTACTATCCTTTCACGTCATTAAAACAAGTCTTTGCTCTATCGGGGAGAGGTGCACCTAAACAATTGTTCCCTAATGGCAAGGACAGGGTCAGTAATACTGAGATATACAGGCAGCAACTGCTTTCTTCTTCCTGAGGAGGCAGCAGCTTCCAACTACTAGCAAACACTGTCTGACAAATGCAAAATGAAATAAGAGGAGTGTTGAACTTATGTATTATCTTTCTTGACTTTGAAATTAATAAAAAAAGAAACAGAAGTAGAACTTTGAAAATACATAAGCCAATTATCAATTGGGCTTCTTTTCTTTGTTTTGCTAGCATGTAGCTGCTTTTAGAAAGCATCAGAGCTAGGTGAGATGGAGAAAATGTGCTTTTGTGCAATTAAACTCCCGTTGGGTTTAATGGAGTCCTTCTCAGGCCACTCACACAACACTTGGCTGATGAGACAAGGGAGCACAGAGAGGGAAGCACACAGGGTCCTTTTGAAATACTGTTTGTTTTTGCTGACATTTTCAGCTTCGGCCTCGGTTGGCCAATCTTAGCAGAGGGAAAACTGTCACACTGGGTGACAGCCCTTCCGGGAGCTCCCCTTGTCTCACATGCAAAGGGAAACAGAGCCTCCCAATCAGCTTCTGGGAGGTGAGGCTGAGAGGGGACTTGAGCAGATGCCAGAGAGGCGAGCTGCCTGTCACCGCTGGGCCAGGTGGCTGCTGTCACTCCTAGGTTAAAAATAAAGTCTGAATGAAGCATGGACAGTAGTTGGGAGCTGAATGGCAGTTTCTGTCTTATTAAAATTAGTTCCACTTTGCCACCTGGCACAGAATATGCAAATGCAAAAGGAACTGATTCAGACTGAGACTTTTGAGTAAAATCCCTTAAGTCCCATACTGCAGCAGCCACATCATTTTATAGACAATTCACACATGCGTTGTGTGAGTTTGTGTATACGTGTGCATGCAGGTAGTAAATGCGTGACTGTGTGTGCTGTGGTTTGCCAAAACAGGAAGAAACAGATAAACTGAACATCCGCCTTATTAGATTTCATGGCTTAAACAGAGCCTGACATATGGTAGTATCAGCAAAGTGCTGTTGAATGAATGAACAAATTTTATGCAAAGTGAGAATTTCATTTATCTTAATCTCATGACTAAGGTCCAACTCCCAACCCTGATAGAATTCACCACCTAAAGATTGCAAAGATGGTGCGAAAATCTTCATTTCAGGCCAACTATCTGCATGAGTGTTCACAGTTCTTGAAAGGGAATAAAACTTCAGAGCTGTGTATCCGTTAAGTCTTGATAATTTATCAAGACTTTTCAACAGGCTTCCTTAACACTTATGCAAACTCAGAGTATGACTCCAAGGGATACAAATAATACCAACAGCAATAGCAACAGCTAATACATATTGTGTACTTATTATGTATATGCTGGTCACCATTCTAAGCAAGTACTAATTCATTTTATCCTTAAAGCGACTGTATGAGATAGGATATATTACTATTGCCAGTTTTCAGATAGGGAAACTGAGGTACACAGAGAGGAAGAAACATGCTTGGTTCACAGAGCTAGTAATAATGGGGCCAGGATTCAAATCCAGCCAGGCTGACACCATAAGTCCACAGGCTTAACCACTAGGTTACTACTACTAACCCCAATTTCAGTGACTTCTTAACACATCTCATCTTCCCCAAAGGATAGATGAACATTCCCAAGGCTTAGGGAAAGTTTAGAGAAAGGTTGAGGCATGAGAAGCCATGGGCCACAGATCTCTGGAAGGGAGGGCACCAGGGTCTGTGGCCATGGCATTTGCCACACTGCAGTCCCTTGCTGAGAAGATATCCAGATGTCAGTATGTCTCTCCTGAGAAACAGAGACCTCCACGATTCAGGATCTGCTGTGAATCAAAAGGCTAATATTAGATAGCCAATTGAATCTCTCAAGCAAACCTTTTCAACTGAAAATAAATCAAGAGTGTTTTCCATTGAGCCCTCTAGTCTCCAATAAATCTCCTGTATCATGTAATAAATGAACTGTCTCACGTCCCTCTCTCTCAGAGACCCAATGGGCAACATTAACTGAAGCCACTTGCATTCAGGGAGGAGTCTCTCAGGGAGAAATGCCAGCCGGGCCCTTAGGGTGCTCCCTACTGTAGGGCTGTCAGGAGGACAATGGGGTCATGGGGCCCTGCACCAAAGGATCTCTTTGCCCACACAGGAAGAGGCCTTCCATGACCTGTCAGGAAGACTAGAGAAAGGAGCTCTCCAAGAGAGTATCCTTAGTGTCCACCCACTCTCTGGCACCAGGTTCAAATGAGGGTTGGTAGTTCAGCTTGATTTGGACCCTCCCAAAGCTGAGTTCAAATCCTGACATTGTCACTTGCTCCAGGTTATACAGCTAGTGAGTTCCTCAGCCTCTCTGCCAGTCTTCTCCTTGGAGGGTGACAATACCAACCTGTCAGGGTTTGTGGGAATATTAAATGAGCTGAGGTACATAAAAAACTTGATACAGAGTTTGGCACTGAAGTAGAGCCAATAGGTGTTGCATACTTGTTTGGTGGCTTATATACTTCAGCTAATGTAATTCTCACAAAAATGCTATGAAGTAGGCACTATTACCAAACCCATTTTAGAGACAAGGAAACTGAGGCACAAGGTAACTTGGCCAAAATCATCCAAGTGGGAGACTCGGGGCTCCAACCACTGTGCTATGCTTCCAGTTATGCTGAGTTCTGGGTACATTCATTCTTATGTGGATCAACCATAGCTGACTCATAACACTATTAACCTTACCTGTATTTTCCACTAAGCCTCAGATCAAGGAAAATAGAGCTCTTTAATAAAATCAGCCCAGAACGTTTCAAAACCTTCTCTAGGTTGTAGGGCCTGAGAAGAATAGCTTCTTGGTTTGCCTCAGTCATTTCCCAAGTGGTAGAAATCACAACATCCTGCTGAGAGTAGAGCACTGTGTAATTTTTACCCAATGCGCCATTATCTACATGTTTCCAGAC